TGGCGGCATCGGCGGCTTCTTCTCGTCGCTATTTGGTGGCGGCTCTTCTCAGCCCCCACCACCCGCTGCACAGGTGAGCAGCTGGGGGGCTAACTGGCTGGGGGGGTAGCTGGGGGGGCGTAGTGGCTGTGGGGGCGTAGTGGCTGGGGGGGTGGGGGGGTGTGAAACCTGAAGTCCGTACAGGCGGGTACGGCAAGCCCCGGGAACAGGGGGTTTCTGCACGGTGGTCGATACCCTCAACTTGCTGTCGTACACCTTCCTCCGTGCACCTGTGTTTCAACCAGGTGACGGACCTCTCCGCGGATCCCTTCCAGCCGCCCCCGCTGCCTAAGGAGTTCGTGATGCATGCGGAGGGCGGGGACGGGTCGTTCAAACAACACTGAGCAGCAGCAGCAATAGCAGTAGCAGCAGTAGCAGCAGTTGCAGCAGCGGGAGGAGGAGGAGGAGGGTGGTGTGGCGAGCGCAGTGGGGGGGTTTAGGGTTTTGGGCTCCGGGGTTGTCAGGGCCGAGTGTGGGGGGTTGTGTTGGGGCCCCTGGGTGGGTGGCGAGGGGGATAGTATAGCGGGGTGACGGAAGCGTGTAACGGCGTGTCAGGGGGTGCCCGCTGTTCCGTCCACGGCAGGGGGAGGGAGGAGGGGGGGTCCTGATGGCCCCGCGGGAAGGGTGCGAGGGAGCTCTTCGGGCGGCCGGGTGACACACCCCCTCCCGCCAATAGACGCCATGGGGACGAGGGGAGGGGGAGAGGTGGGAGGGAAGAGAGGGGGAGGCGGGGAGACAGAACCTTCCGATTTGAACGCGGGTGGGGAAAAGGGTGTCGGCGGGGGGTATTGCGAAGGGAAAGTGTGGATGTGTTTAGGAGGCTGGAGAAAGAGATGTGCGTGTGTGACTTGCGTACCAGGCACTGTGCAATAGCAGGGAGCAGCCGCAGAGGTAGACATACATACACATTTACATACATACCAGGGACAGTGGAGGCGAACGCACTGCCTTGGGCTGCTCTCCTTCAGGGTTGTGTATGGGAAGGGCTTTTGGGGTCCCCGCCCGGGCGCGGAAGGCGGTGGGTGGTCCTTTTTATTCCGCCATGGTGTCCTGGGTGAGTGAGTGTGTGTGTGTGTGTATGGGGGGAAATGGGGGGTGACGGAGTGGGGGGAAGGGGCACCCTCTCCCACATCCATCACTTGCGCCGGCGCACTTGGGTACTATGGTGGTTTGATGATCCTGGTTCGGTGCAGGCGGTCGAGGAGGAGGCGGGGTGAATGTGGTGTGGTGTGGTGTGGTGTGGTGTGGTGTAATGGAAGTGGAGGAATGGTAAGGTGACGAGGGCCAACTCTCTCCCTTCTCCCTGCAGCTTTCTGATACCACAGGGGGCCCCAACGGCTGACCGCCGGCGCGGTGCGTGGGGAGGCTGGTGTTGTCCCCATGCACCCCATGCACCTCTCCCCCTCCCCCCGCCCCCCCCGGCCCCCCCGGGATGGGGGCCCCCTCTGTAAGGCGAGACGTGCTTTTCTCTCCCAGCTTGTTGCTGTGTACTCCCTTCCCCGGGGGGTGCGCCTGCATACATGGCCACAATGATTGCCGCCCAGCCGCACTTAGCCCCCACCAGTTCTCATGCCAAAGGTCGCAGACGATAGTTGCTTTTGGGAATTCGGCAAGGCATGGCAAGCTCTGGTACATAAATACATACATACAAACATACATACATATGAGGAACAGCAGGTGGAGGAGGGAATCCCTGATACGTAGGTATTATGGCAAATACTGATCGTTGGCGGAGTTTGTGTATCACGCTCCTAGTCGCCTTCTTGGGACCCTCTTGGTGAATCTATCGCTTCCATTAGGTGTGCTACTCCGTCCGTTGTAATGTTTTGTGGCTTCCCTGACAGATTATAGTTCTTTCGTCGGTTGTGTTCGTCGGTCGGCGTATGTTAGTTCACATGTTTGCCATGTGAATTTATGTATCCATACATCAATTGCATTCGCTGTCGGTATGTGTTTGAAACTGCGTTTTTTTGGATTGCTGGGCTGTGTGATTGCGGATGAAATAACGGCAAAGACTGCGAAGCGCTGGTGCGAATAATTAACGGATTCCAACGGGCTAATGCACTTTAAGAAGCGATTGACCTGCCTCATTTGGGCATAAGACTGCTCAGCTTTCGAGCACGAAAGTTCGACTAGCAAGCATGATCATGGCAAGCAAGCTTGCCTTGTCATTAAGTCGAGTCGCGTGCCAACAGGTGATGGACAGCCTTCCACTTTGAGCATCAAGCATAACTCTCAGATGTTTACCTTTTATCTTTAAGCTTAAAAACAGTATGCCCGAGGGCTCGCCTTAAATATTAAAAACCCAGAAATTGCCTTTGAAAGCGGTTTGTTCTAACTCCCAAACATCCCTTACCCTATCACGTGGCCATTAGCTCTGCTATGTTCCCGATTCATGATTAACTTGCAAAATTTACCCTAATTTAACCTGTAGTTCCACATCCATGAGTGTGCCATCTCTTCGCAACAGTTCAACCGTCGTCCAGAATTCCCTGAGGGATAGACAGTGAAGTTATTTAACAATTTATATCACTTTAAAGGCACAAAGATCTCATGCTTAGTAGTAGGATGCATCCACAAATGTTTGAGGTTAGAGGTTCTAGTCTGCCGTACTCGTTGTAGGTCTTCGGCGATAGGACAAAGGCCAGCGCGGCCTCAACTTCATGGCATCAGTCGGCAAGTATCAGAATTACATTTTATCAAATCAATTACATCTTCCTAGATTCTGATAATGTTTGCTCTCAGCCAGCGTCAGACTGTTTCGTGCAAGGCTGCTTGCGCCTGCGCCAGCTGCAGGTCGGCAAGGATGTCTGCTCCAATGACGGCTGTTCCCGTCCGCGTGGCGAATGGCTCCCGTGCCTCTAAGTTCAGCCAGACTGGCGCTGTATCAGTTCGCGCTCAGGCATCGCCGGTGGCCACAGTCGCTCCTGCTGCTCCAGCGTTGGCAGCTGCAGTTCCAGTTCCAAAGCGGACTTTCTCCCAGCGCCACACTGAGATCATCAGGTTGGTATTTGTGCGGCAGCGTTAATTTGGGTCTTCTGTTCCTTTGCATGCGCAGTACCACTCGCTGTCCTCGCTTATCGCTACTCTGAAAATGTGGGTCGCAAATTTTGTAGGCACTTTCCGTCTGCTATGGGCGTTGACGACTTCATGGGCCGTGTTGAGGTGAGTCCTCGGCCTTTAACTGCTGTTTCGCTTTTTTCTTTGCTGCGTCCCCCTCTCATACTCCAGCGCTGAACCTTCGCCTGCAGGTTGCCCTTGCTGGCTTCGGCTTCACTGGCGACAACTCTATTGGTGAGTACGCCCTTCAATTGTCAAGTGCTTCTGTGTGTGACGACGCGAAACCTTTGCCCTTCTAATCTGCTTCCCTACTTGACCGCTTGCCCTACGCAGCTATGACCAACCTGTGCCGTGATGAGGTTACGCAAGTCCTGAAGGACAAGATTGAGGCCATCTTCGGTTCGTCCTTCAACACCAACGGCCTGGGTGGTGTCCTCACTTGCGGTGTTACTGGCATGAAGGCCGGTCTGAGCCACTCCCCCGTGTGCAACGTGAGTGTCATGAGCTCTGTCCACGGGCCTTCTTGCCCCTCTCAGTGATTTCCTCCTACTTCCCCTCAAATCCACCAGTCTGTGCTGACTAGTTAGTTACTTTGCCCGTCTGACTCGGGACAAAATTGCCTACATTGAACCTCGACAGTTACCGTTATCATAGCTCTGTTTTTCCTCCTAATTTGCACCTGCCACTCTTTTGTTCTCTTTTTATCTCTTGCTCTGCTCTCTTCCATCCCTTCAATTGTATGTTTGGCTTTCGCTGGATTATGCATTTTCTCATTCTCCTGCCTTTCGCTCCTTAACCTGTTCTGCGCTTTCGCCAACGCTTCCCGGACCCTCAGGGTGGTCGCGAGCGCTACGTGTTCTTCGCCTTCCCGCACATTGCCATCAACAGCGAGGGCGAGATGGGCGCGCTGTCCCGCCCCGGTCGCCCCAAGCAGTCCTGCGCCTGCGGTGCCCTCCTGGCCATCCTGAATGCCTTCAAGGTGGACGGCGTGGAGAAGAGCTGCAAGGTGCCTGGCGTGCACGACCCGCTTGACCCCGAGCTGACCATCCTCCAGCAGCGTCTGGCTCGCCGCGTGCGCTACGAGAAGCTGGACGTGAAGTCGCTTGACCTGCCGGGCCTGACGCAGGTCGGTCTGTCGCGTGAGGGTGTGTCGTGTCGCGTCGTGTCGGGCTGGTGGGGGGTGGCCGGGGTTGTTGCATGTGGCTGCATGGTAAATTGGTACCAGGTTTTATCACTATTTCAAAATTGAAAGGTGGCCTGGCTGATCAAAAGCAGGTAGAGAAGGAGATACTTCGGTCGGGCATCTTTTTTGGGGTGAAGAGTTAGGAGCCTTTGGCACGGTAGCCCCGGTTGGGTTTCTGAGAAGACGCCCAGCTCCCCCGCACCCGCACCCTCGCCCTTCCCGCCTGTCCTGTCTCATCCCCCCGATCCTCACGCCCTTCCCGTCCTACACTTTTGGAAATAATTGCAGGTCGCTGAGCGCACGATCACCGACGATCTGGAGTACCTCATCGAGAAGGCTGTGGACCCGGCCATCGCTGACTATGCCGTCATCACAGGTGTTCAGATCCACAACTGGGGCAAGGAGCTCACGGAGGACGGTGATGCGTCCATCGAGTTTGTGGCCCCCGCCAAGGCATACACGGTGGTCAACGGGCTCAAGACCTACATTGACTTGCCGCAGGTTGGTGGGAGGTGGTGAATGCGAATGGGTGGATCTGTTGGGTGGATGGGTTGACACAGAATTGTGAGGTGATGTCAATTGTAGATCTCATGAGTTTCGGCGTCGCTTAGAAGATTTGCATGAATTCGTAGGTTAATGTTGACGCGGACCTCTAATTGCGCGGCACTGCTGCTGTTGCTGTTACTGCCACAACTTCCCTGTGCAGGTGCCCGCTCTGTCACCCCGTCAGATCCAGACCATGTCCACTCGCTCCCTCAACGGCATCCCCGCCAAGAACATTCAGCTGGGCGTGCGCGGCTCCGTCATCTCCGACGTGCCTTTGGAGTACCTGGTCACCAAGCTGGGCGGCTCGCAGCTCATGAGCGATGGCAGCAGCTACGCTCCCTCGTTCTCATCCACCGACTCGTTCGAGTGGCCAACGTGGCAGAGCCGCATCCGGTTGGACAACAACCCCAACCGCCTGCTGAGCGTGGAGCGGGATGCCAACGCACCTACCATGGACTCGCCTGAGCCGGTGCACACCTCCTTCGAGGCGCCCAAGTAAATGCGATAGCTGGCGGAAGTCCTGGATCAATGGTTGATTCATCCATTGACTGGCAGGCGAAAAGGAGGATGGGAATGAGCCGGCTGTGGAGAGGAGATGCTGTTGGAAGGATGCTTAGGTAGATCGTTAAGACTGCTGGGAAAGATTTTGGGACAATAGGGGCTGAGGACTGAGATGTTGGAGAGGAGAGGAGAGTAGGGGAGGGGAGAGGAGGGCAGCAGGTCTAGGACCGGAGTTTTTGGTTCACACATTTCTGGTCCAGTGACTTGGACGCTGCAACCTGCTGGCTGATGTGGGGGACAAGGGGTGGCTTGCGGGCGGCAGGAGAGTAAGGGAGCGCGAGAATGGAGCGAGTTTGCATGTTGGGGAGCGTTTTCCTACTTTGTTGGCTCCCAGTACTGCTCGGTGGCGGCAATTGAGAGGGGTTCACCAGGTGTGGCTCTGGCTCTGACAACGCATCGGCACATAGGAGGGAATGTCAAATGTGCAGTTGAGTGATGTAAGCACAGTTGCGCATTTGTCTCATCGCGATTCGTGAACGAGGCATTTGCAAACAGCGTGCGATGGCGTGTTGCCGGCTGCTCTGACAATTTGACGATGTAATCAACATCCATCCATTAAACATGTATTACATAAATGCTTCCGGAAGGGGCGTATGTGAGGAGATGATGTTGGTGACCGATCTGTATTTGCTTTTTATTCGTTTTTTGCCAGAGGATGATTAGCTGTGTCACCTTCAATCCAGGACTGCCTGAGTTGAGAAGGAAGGATGAAAGCGGTGGTCAAACTTCAGTCCTGCAAGAGTTGGCGACGGTGCGTTGATAAAGTGCCAAACATGGTTGTCTGGCCGTGAAAAAGCATAAAGCTTGATAAGTCTTCTGGCAAAGGTGTGGTAGTTTTTTTTCAAAATTCAGGCACATAGAGGTTCTTGGTGGAGTAGGCGATAATGGGTCATGTCGGCCACCTCGTATTGATAAGTTTTCACCCACGATTGTTCTTATGGCTTGTACGTGTTAATTTGTAATTCTACTCGCCCTTGAATCACAAAAATTTATTCTGCTAGTTCTTCCGACTTATAATCATGTGCGAGGCAAGACACAAGTGCCATATGGTGAGAAGCCCTGCATAAACGTCCGTATGTCCGCATGAAAAACACCCAGATTTATGTAATCACAACCCTCGAAGTAAGCATGTGATCGTTGTCCTCCTCACCCCTAACGCACTTAGATAGACAGGGGACGGTGTTGAAATTACAGTATGCAACACAGCCGGTACCAACTAACTCCAGGGTGGGCCTGACCTCGAGCCAGGACCCCCAAACCGGCTTGCAGTATGTATGGTTGCATCATGCCTACCTAAACACCGAATCGGTGGCTATCAAAGCTAAGGCCTGAAGAAATACCCCGTCATAACATCCTGTACTTAATATGTCCTAGTAATTTACAGTTGTCACCAAAAAGAAAAAAGCGCAAGAAATTCACTTCCATTATTTACCTGTACCCTTGTAAGCTGTCTTCACAATACATACCATACAGGCACCTAGACAAAACCTTGAGGGAATCCAATACTGTTCTTACTTATACACGTCGTCGACTGTCTAACTTGCCCGTCCTTGCATACGAAATTTAATGGTGGTATATCATTGCTGTTCTCATAGAGGCAGTCCCTGCCAGGGCGGAGTCGCCCAACCAATACCCAATACCCAATACCCCCACCCCCACCATAAACCCAATCCCAACCTTCTCTCAAGCGTAACACGAGCAATTCCCCTCAAGCTCCACTCTGCTACCCCCGGGATATACAATCACTGTCTCGTGCCGAGGTGTGGCGGACACGTGAGTGACACAACACGTCCGGCGGCCCACTCACGATCCTACTCACCCACAACTTCATCCAGAGTGATGATCCCGCCCAAACGCATACACACACCATGCCCCACACAAGCCCCCATCCCCGTCACCGCCTTACACGAAAATTCAGTGCCGAGTACGGAAACTCCCTCACAGTCAACTGCACGTTGTCGTAGTCAAAATCCGGATCCAGGCTGCGAAAGGAAAGTGGGGATTCGACCGGCGTGTACGGAGTCGAGGGAGGCCAAGGTAAGTCTCTGTGTCCAGGGTCGTTGGTCCTATTCCAACAAGCCCCTCACGCCACAGCGGGCAACCAAGGGGAAAAGAGGACCCGGACGGTCCCTACACGCCGCACCCCACTTAGTGCCCGGTGCATGCGTGAATGACCTACTCATCGAGGGTTGATTAGGGTCTCTTCTTCGTCCCCTCCCTCATCATCCCAGGTGGTGCACCGGCTAACCCCCAAGTGCCAGCGTACCTGAAGGCCTCCACATCCTCAAACGTCGGGCCCCCCACGGACGGAGGCGGCACAGCAGCTGACTGCGGCTGCTGGCGGGGAGCGCCCGAAGCAGGAACCAGGGCAGTCCCTGCTACCATCGCCACCTCCAATCCAGGCCCATCCGCAGCAGCTGCCGCAGCGTCGCCAACGCCATTGCTTGCGCCGCCGTGACTCACCACAGCCTCGCCGGCAGTGTTAGTCTCACGACCAACATCACCAGACAAAGGGGAGCCATTGTCGGAAGCTCCGTTGGTCGCCGTGGCGGTGGCGCCTGCGGCGGCGGCGGGGCCGCTACGGCCGCCGCCAGCCCCTTCGCCCGAATGGCCATTCGCCAGCATCCCCAATCCCTCCCCCTCGACAAGACAGTAGCGATGTCCGTTGGCCGTGGGGACCACTGCTCCTCCACCGTCGCGAGGCACTTGGGACGAGCCTTCCACGTCCGAAACGCCGAGTTCTCGGGACCCTCCTCCGTTGGCCAGGTCTTCGGCTTGGCCCCCGTCCTGGTCCTGATCGTGGTTCTGATCTTGTGCGAGACTGGGCAAGGGGGAGGACCCTGCGGTGCACTCCCACATCGGGAAATACGTGGGGGCGGGTGAGCAGCACAGCTGGAAAGGGAACACATCTGCCTGTCGACGTTCAAACTGAGCCGCAAGCTGGTCGAGGCGTCCAAAACTAAGCGGGCCGGGGCCCGAGGCGCCCATAGGGCCAGTAGGGAAAAAGCCTCACGGTTTAATGAACGACCCAAATACGAAGGACTAATATCAGTTTTCCGCACAAGAAGCCAGTCAGCTGCGGGGGAGCCCGGTGCCGTTGGGGGAAATCGTGGGATGCAATTAAAACAAAGAACCAACCATGCCAGCGTCTAAAGCAAAGGGAGGTAGGGGAGACCAGAGGGAAAAGGGGAAGTCGCACCATGTCTGCCGTGTCCAAGTACGTCACCTGCTGCGAAGGCACCTCTGGCACCGCCAACGCCAAGGTCCCCGCACACCTACGAACCACCCGGGTTCGCAGCCAAAGGGCCCCGTCCAAGCCCCGCCTGAGCTGGTCATCCCAGGTTGTTATCGTCTAAGGGATGGGATGCCGAGCGGAAATGCGACCCTGAATCCGCTTTCCTTTCCCTCCCCTCCTTCCCTCATGTGGCTTGAATAGGCAGAAGCAGCTGCTTTTCCATTACCTGCTAGCCCCAGGTCCTCAAGCAGCGCCCGGCCGTCCACTCCCTGGAGTGCCGCCCAGAGGGCATCCTCGTGCCGGGTATCCTGTTGAAGCGCGTGGGGTGGGGTGGGAGGGAGTTGGTGAGCTCGGTGAGCTTGTGCAGGAAGGCGGTCCGATGGTTCATAAGGCGTCACAGCTGCTTTTCGTAATCGCCCCCCACGAGAGCCCACACAGACGTACAGGTATGTAGGCATGCAGACACGCGAGGATGCCCCTCAAGAGAAGTGGTCTCATCCACCGGGGGGGGCGGAGAGGGGGTCGCGACCCGCACCACATCTCCTGACAATCTGCACCTGGCAGGCACCCGGCAGCGCGTACGTCGCCTCCTCAGCGGGCCCACATCGCCCAGGTCCGCCCGCCGCCGCCACAGCAGCCGCCGCCGCCGCCGCCAGTCCCTCACCGCCCGGACCGAGAACGGGCGGGCCACCACCGCCGCCGCCGCTGCTACTGCCACGGCCACGTCGCCCGCCGGCACTGATGCCGCCGCCGGCGGCGGGTGCAACCGGGGCCGCCTGGGGCTCCGGAACCACCTCAGGCGCGTCGTCGTCCTCCGCTTCTTTGCTCCCACCTGCCTCCTGTTTATGAAGTAGAGAACCCTCCTCCCCGTCCGCTTCTACTTGCTGCGGCTGTGGCTGGACTCGCTGCTGCGGGCGCATGTTGTTGCTGCACGTCTGGTCTGCAGTGGCGGCTCCAGATGTCAGCTGGGGCCCACTTGCACCTGTGCTTCCACAGAGAAGTCCGCAGAACACCATAACACACACCGTTGCAAAATGGACATGTTAGTTGTAGCGGTTGCGGCGGTTATGGTACGCGCATGTGAAGTACTAGCAAGGCTAGGTAGCAGCGGGAAGGGGACAGCAAACCATCAACCAGAGGTTCATGATGGCCCAACACAGAGGAAATATGACAAGGCGGACACCCATGTGGCGAAGTTAAGCCCGTGGGAGGCTCTCCCGGGTCTTTATCTCTAGTCTCCCGGGTCTTTATCTCTAGTCGCTGAAGCGGAGGCAGGAAGGGGCCGCACCTCGCATGGCACGAATCTCGTCCTCAAGCGTCACAACAGGTGCCGCTGGCGCCAGTGGCGGTCTGGTACCCGCTCCCGACTCCCGGCGAGCCTTTGCCATAGCACTGGGGATGTACACCACGGGGGCGACGGCCGCGGCCATGGGGCCGCTGTCGGCGGCAGCAGTGGCCTGCGGCACCAAAGCAGTCGCCGTCACGGCGCTGTCGCTAGCCCCGTCATCCAAGTCCCCCACAGCGTCCCCTTCTGGCGTGAAGTTGTCCACCTGAAAGGGGAGTCGTGTGTTCATGGAGCAACAGACGCAGCTGGGCCTCAGGAAGTAGCTGGGTGTTATCTATTACAAGCGTGATTTGGGTCACACAGCACTTGCTTTGCAGGAAAGTTGTAGGTCTGGTTTGTTGGGGGATGCGGAACGCGTCGTGAGATATGCCAGCCCGCCAACCGCGGACGTCTAACTGCAATGCCGTTGGTTCTGTTACCGCCCTCCTGGTTGGCTGGTTGACCGCAAGGGCTTTTGGTGTTCCAAAGGATTATATCAGAATGACACGCACCTTCACGTCGCCAGGTCCATCTAAAATGAAACTGCTGCTAGCACGAGACAGCGTCATTACGGGGATGCCGTTTTCGTCAAGTTCCTGTGGAGAAGAAGGATCAATTAATCGAACGCAGCAACCTTTCTTCCAAAGTTACTTTCAGATTTTTATGTTCCCAAAATCGACCAGAGCAATCTCTTAGCTCCAGCACGAAAACTTGCCTCGTCATTTTCTCCTGGTTGGCATAGCCAGTCGCCCTCCGTAGATAAGTCGTCCACTTCTTCCTAAACAAGTAAGTTGCCGTCGATGGTCGGAACCACGACATTTCACAACAGATGATGGCCGATGTCGGGGCCACGCACCTCTGCAGCAGCCTTCTCATATTCATCTCGAAGAGGATCGACTGATGGTTTCATCATCTCCAGCAAAGCTTTCCTGGCTTCCTGCGCGATGCACGAACCGGTGTGGCCTTTACACATGCGCGCATAGCTATTTGTGCCCGTGGATCGCACCAGTTCCTTAAGCTCAGCAGGATCCGCATCCTTGATAGATTTCAATACCCTAGCTAGTCCTTCATACGTCTCGTTCGGCTTCTGGCCCACTAGCGCAAAGACAGCCGCGTAAACATCGTCGTGTTGCTGCACGGATTTTGCATCCATTCCTGTTAAAAGGCAATTACTGACCTCACATGTGTTGCTTTTGCTCTCAAAGGACTCTCCTGCGGCTTTAATCCCACCAAACCCAACCGCCCTGTCCGTTGTACAACATCGCTACAGCTACAAGAGCTGCAGCAAAACCAAGAGGCAAGTAGCGCAAGTTACATGTTACAAGAATCATGCTTTTACACAACATGGTTTGTGTCACCTGCGTCACCGGGTCACGTTTGACTGCGGATGCTTTGCCATGTCATTCCGCGCTTCGCATGCCAGCAACCGGACAACCCGCGCGATTTCAAACACCCTCCTCCCCCCGAAGTCCGAATCACCAATGCCCATCGTAGTAGCCATTCCGTCTGACGTAACCACGCCTAGAGTCCATAGACACCTGCACAGCTACCCTCACCCTCTCCTCACCCCATTCACCCCTCACTCCAAAACGCCACGCGGTCGTGTGAATAAATAAGTTCTGAACACCGGACTGTCCGAACCGGCAAATCCGATTTCGTTGCCCCAAACACGGGACCAGTTAAGTTCACTGCTAGCCGCCTCGCGACAACCTCACTGCCACCGGGCCTTCTCAACCTGCTACTACGCTACACGTCGGCGCATTCTCTCTCGCTGCTCCGCCGTTCTCTTCCCCCCTCTGACAGGGTATGCCGCCTCCGGCTTCCCTCGCCCAAACGGGAAACCTTGGAGGTCAACAATCAACCACAGTCGCTCGCACATGCATACACACGCACACACACAGGCATCCCGAGCCCTTGACAGACACACTCCATCCTCACACGGAGTGAAAGACTTCATACGCTCGTACATCAGTACAACAGAACGAACGTGCGTCTCTACAAGTGCATGGCGCATAACATTAAAGCACAAGCACAGTGATGACATAGCACCATAATGAAGACAAAAGTGAAGACATAAACAGCCATCGACCGCAACCCCGCCACACACAACCCAAGTAGGCCACGCCAGCTTTCCTGGCGTACGGCAATCGCGATTTTCCAAGTCCTCCAGTACCTCCGTTACAGTAATACGGCACCGTACGGCAATGCCACAATCACTGGTGTGTAGTGTCGGCTGGTGGGGGTTCCTGTCTCTTGGCCGGTGTTTTCTTTCGCTGAGAGGTCTTTTCCGTCCACTTTTCAGCCACCTTCCTTTCTCCCTTCCCCGCCTGGTAGGGCTAGGTAGCCGCACACACACATACACATACACACACGCACACCGGCCCCCCCGGACTCCCCGGGAACTCTGGTACAAGTATCTTCTCTGTGGTAAGTCTCCGAAGTTACTTAGCACAAAGCGACATGTGTGGTGGTCGTACGGCCACGGGCCTCCACCACCCGGGCCGTTCACCCACCGTTGCATTTCATAAGCAGTGCCGTACATGTTTGTGTGTATGTGCACTGATGACCATTGTTCGTATGATCTAACTACATGTTTGCAAGGTTCGATCGACTGTACGGTGTACGCTAGCGCAAAACACAGCAGAGAAGACCAATCGTCGCATGCGCATATACCCCCTTAACCCCCGCTCACTCCGGTTCCCCCCTCTACCCTCCCGTGCACCGCATGCCGCCCATAGCCCCGTCTTGACGCCGCATCACGACACACCGCTCCTAAGCGGCGGGGCCCCCCACGTCCTCTCCTTGCCGCGGCTCTCTGCCTCACAACCGCCCCCTCACCCACCCCAACCCCGACGACCTGAAAGGACAACCGAGAACCGTCAAATCGGAATGTGTCCATGTGCGGAGCCAATAGCCCCACATACCGCCCATCATCACCACCACCAGACAGCATCAGGCACTCCGCTTTTAAAGCACACACATAAATACACACGCACACACAGGAAGCATCCCTACCTGTCGGCACACGCACAACTTGCCCAGCAGCTGACCGCGTCCACCCCTCCCGCATCTCCCCTACCCTTGGTCGCCCAGCAATGCACTGCCGCCTGCCCCCCGGCCCTCTCTGCCCCTCATTCCCCCCTGGACAGCATCAGGCGCTGTTGTCGTACTCTTCGCACATAAAACACACGCCCTTCCCTCTCCTCTTCCCCCCGTCCTGCCCCCCGGCTATCCTCCTCGTCATCTCACCTCACCTCGCTGACGTGATCCCACCCGGGTCTGACGGGGGGGAAGGGGGAGAGATGAGGGGGAAGTATACGGTAAGGGTGGAGTACGGAGTACGACAGTGCGGTGAAAGGAGAAAAGTAAGGTGGCTTACGAGTCCAGTGGGGGTCATGGTTGTTAGCTGATTCACGGGGAATTGTCCGGGGGAAAGATATCCGGGAGATGAAAGAGTGGCGAAGGGGGTCGCGAAAGGCAACAGGCACAACAACAAACCAGCAACTGAGTTGCAAAGGAACGAACCAGGGGAATAGGGCGCTGCTCAGCTCACCCCCGTCCCCTCCTCCCCCCCCCTTCCTCCTCTACGGCAGGGGAACCCACCCACCTGCGCTGCCCCCGGGGTGCCCACAGCTCCAGGAAGGCCCCCCTCCCCCCGGGCAACATGGTCTCGATGGTGGTCAGGACCTCCGAGGGGATGTCCCAACCGCTTCTATCTGCGAACACGTGACACAAGGGTGGTCGTTTGGGGGGAGCGGAACGGAACGGGGGGAGGAGGAGGAGGAGGGGGGGACTTCTATGGAAAAATGCAAAATATTTAATCAAAAAGCGACAACTGTCGCCGACACCCAAATCGCCACCAGCCGCCAGAATCTCATGCAATGACGCAACCCGATTAAGGTGGTCGTGCGTGCGTGCGTGCGTGTGTGTATGTGGGGGGGTGGGGACAAGGGGGGAGGTAGGAGGGCTGTAGATACAAAGGGGAAAGAAGAAGAAGAATAACAAGAAGGGGTGAGACAGGGATAAAACACACACACGGGGTCGGAGACGCGCAATGGCGCGCGTGGGGCTTGGATGCGCTGATGTGTGTGGCGAGGCTGTGACGAGGTGCCTGTTCACAACCCCGGTAGTGCCCCCCAGCTCCACACCCCCACTACCCATACGGTATCAGCATCACTCGTCTGTGGTTCGTCTTTCCCGCGCTAACCCCCAGCCCCACCTCCAGCTCCGCCCCCCAACTTTCCCGCTCGGGTCCCCTCACTCCCGCCACCTCACCCGGCAATGTACGGATGCAATCAAACACCACATCGGGATTCCGCTGATGACGCAACTCGATGTCGCGACCCTCGCCTACCGGGGGAAAGTGGTGGCGAGTGGTCGTTGAATCGGCGGAAATTGACAGACCCACGGGTCTAAGTTGGTTGTTAGGAGATGCAAGCCAAGGAACCCAGTCCAGCAAAGAAACCGAAAATGGCCGATAGATATTTGTGTGCCTGCGTCTGTATGTATCGAGGTGCGAAACAGCTAGACAAGGGAACGGAACGGATGGTGAAGGACAGACAGCTGGGAGGACGGATGGTATGTGGTAGCACCCTTCCTTTGCGCCCTTTGCACCCGTATCCCTACGTTGCACCATGACCGCCCGTCGCACCCGTACTCGTACGCCGTACACGTACCCCCGTACCCACCCTCCCGTCGAAAGATGAGCAGCGTGGAGTGGCTCCTGCGGAAATGTCGGCCGCGTTGCGAGGTGGCGATGGCGTTGGCGGGTGTGAGGTGCACCCAGGTCAGGTTCTCCACGTACACATAGCCCCAGCCCGCCAGAGCCCGGCACACCGCCTGCAGCAGCCCCTTGTGCGCCCACACGAAGATGAAGCCCCGCGGACACAGCCGGGGGATGGGCAGACTGAGGAACCTGCAGCAACAAGGAGTGGGAGTGGGGGGTGGGGGGTGAGGAGCCGGGGCCTGGTGGCAGCACACGGCAAGGGGATCAGGAGAGGGCAGGGGCACCACCTACCGCCGCGCCCTCCGGGCCCGGCCCTCAGCAACGGAGCCACACCCGCCCGCCCGTATGGCGACCCGGCGCGCTGAGCTGCGCTCCCAATACACATACGTGCATACATACATACATACATACATACATACATACACACACTGTGTCACTCCTCTGGCGGCGGCTCCCCGCCATCCCCTCCACCTACCCGCGCATCACCTCGGCCTCCCGACCGCCCTCAAAGGCGTCCGCTGCGCCCGGGGGCTGCCAGCCCGCGTTGACCATGATGGCAATGTACTGCTTGCCGCCCAGCGCAGAGTCGAAGGGAAAAGCCACCATATTATGGGACTCGAACCCGCGACTTGTTGTCGCAGTGGCGGCGGGATCGGTGCTTGCCACGGCAGCAGTAGCGCTTTCGGACGCATTGGCCTGGACAGGAGCTACAACCGCGGTAGCGGCGACCGGTCATTAAGGGGGAGAGACGAACCACGAACGAGGGAGCTGGGGGTGCTGCTGATTAGGGGGGAGCTGGGGGTGCTGCTGATGGTGGTGGTACTGGTGCAGATGCCGGACAGCAGGTTATGTGCATGTATTAGTGTGTGTGTGTGTGTGTTGGGGGGGGGGTTACGTCGGCAGTTGACCCTTTCCCTTACGCATCACGTAACTCCATCTCCCTCTAATCCCCCTTCCCCACCCCCACGTACCCTCCTGCGGCGACGACGACGATTTAGACACGTCCGGCGGCGGGTACGGCTCCGGCGGTTGGTACGGCCGCACGGTGCGACCCCACGACAACGGAAGCGGCGGCGGCGGCACTCGCAGCTGTACCAGTCCGCCACCGCCGCCATCGGCCCCGCCACCGGCGCTCGTGACGCGGCGTCGGATGAGCGCGTTCGTGTCCCGATTGTACTGCATCACCACCTGGTGGTTCATTGCGGCTTGACGGGACTGGGCGGGGGGACCTTCGCCGCCCGGGGGACACGAAGGGGAGGGAAAGGGGAGAACGGGATTCAAGAATCCTGTGCATGTCTGTCTGTCTGTCTGTATATCTGTCTGTCTATGAAACCAGCTTAGCTAGCATCAAGTCGCTGGCAATAGCCCGCACAATAAGACCTACCCAGGGCGGCCTCTCACGACCCATCCACTAACACCGACACCGTCAAAGTGAGGAATGGATGATCATAATTATCAGCAGCAGCAGCAGCAGCAGCAGCAGCAGCAGCAACAACAAAACAATTAGTTCTAGTAAGTGAACACAGACTCACGTAAGGAGCTGAGCTGAGCTTGCCGGGTGAAAAGGTCGCAGCTCCTGAGGCTCGCAACCGCTCCCCTCCTCAACACCCCATTCCCTCCCCCAACCCCTTCCATGTCGTACCTCCCGTGCGTGACGACTGACGGCCTTCTCGTGCGGACCCCGGAGGAGGCCCCTCGCCGTCCAGACCGCGGTGTCCGCCGGCTGTGCGGCCACTGCTGGACCCCGTACGCCGCCGCCGCGCGCCGCCGCCGCTGTCACGGCTGCGGCCGCTGCCTCCACCCCCCAGCTCAAAGTCCTCATCACTCCAGAAGCCCTGACGGAGGGAGAGAGAGAGAGACACACACACACACACACGCACACACACACGCACGTACACACATACACGAGTGGATACGTCATCATTAGTGGGGTGATAGGTACATGGGTGGGTGCCGGGAGACCCCTCCGACAGTTCAATTGCGCGCCTTCCACTTTCCGCTTACATTGGCACCACTAGGCTTCCTCTCCCCCCTCTTTCCATCCCCCTACCGCCCCGTCCCCCTACCGCACCTCCCCCTTCCCGCGCTGGTGCCCATACCTTCATCAATTGTAGCTCATCCTCCTCCATGTCGCTGGGCGTAGCACCGAAATCGCCGCCCGCAAATAACATATCTTCCATTCCGTACGCGATGCCATCGGCGCCGACAGCGCCGCCGCCACCGTCGAACCCGAGCATCGCATCGCTGCCGTACAGCGCTGAGGCTCGTACATTAAGAATGGAAGTCTGTTTGAATACTTCCAGAAGCGCCTCGTCATCCAGAAGCATCTGATCGTCCGCGTCTGGATTAGCACCGGCGGTCGCTGCGGTGGGTAATTGGTCAGGCGGCAGGTGCGGCTCTGGATTGGAGGGGTTTTGTGGAGATGGGGAATGGCTCTCCGGGCCGCTGCTCGTTGGGGGAGCCGCGGGGTTGGTTTCAGAACCCGGGGCGGCGACGGCAGTTGCATCATACTGGGGGCGCGGGCCGGGAAGGGAAGGCCCAGGTCCGCCTTCCGCCTGCTGGGGGTTGCCATTCGGGCCTTGCTGCTGCTGTAGTTGCTGTTGCTGTTGGCGCCTCGCTTCCGCGGCTTTTTGGATCCGTTCCAGCTCCTCAAACTTCTTCATGATCATTTCCGGGGTTTCGTTATCTTCCACATAGCCAACGTAGTGGATGGCCGACGGTACCAACTGTGCCTTTGCGGCCACGCAGCGTCTCTTGGGTCGCCGGTCCGACATGCTTGCTGCTGTCTATGTTCCCGCAGCTTGCCAGCTGGATTGGGTTACGCGTGTGTGCTTGGGTTTCGCTGTGCGCTGCACACTTAATTGTGCTTGGGATGTTGCCAATTCCCGTGTAGCAGAGTCCTGTCTTCTACAGTTTCTGGCGCGTATGCAAGGACCTGGCACGGAACGCTCTAATGTCAAGGTGTAACCTGAGGAGTTCGTTCGTTTGACGCCAATACAAGCGTAAACTATGGATAGAAGATTTAAACCGATTAAAAGCCTGCGTGGCTGCTGAGCTCAGTCGAGAACTTCCTGTAATACCATGTACACAAAGCTTGCAGGCCAAGCAAAGTGGTCTCATGTCAACCGCTTCGGCAATTGCCAAACCGCGCCAAGGTTCCGGAGCATCCGTGTTTTTGGTCAACTTTGATGTACCACAGCTTTACAGTGACCAACAAGCTACGCCTATAAGGTCATATGAGTCTTAATGCTTAGGATAAATATGGGACGGCAGGGTCACTGCAAGTGTTCGACGTCAGCAGTACGGCAGCTGCTTCCGGAACAGCTCCCAAATAAATTCTATTCCGTCGCGGCGACATGATCAGTCAACAGTTCGGTCTCAAGAGCAATTTCCACAATATTTCAACTTTTAGCAAGTATATACCTATTAGTCGTCTAACGAGGCGTGTTCCGATACAATGGCCCTTGCTCTGTCGTCGTCCCCACGCGTTACCACCGCGTTGTCGAGGCGCCCACAAGGTCATCGCACTCGGACATCTTGCGTTAGTGTGAAAGCTCTCTCCGTTCAAGAGGCCAGTGACTGGTAGGCGAAGGACGGGTTCGTTCCGGAGTGTAAATGTACTGACCCTGCAGGCAGCCGGCCTCTCGAATGAGATTTTCCCTCTCACTGGGCCAGAGGCTTCGCAGGTTTCTAATTTCTAATGTGTTAAATTGCCGATGCTCGGTAGTCTCTTAGGCGTTGCGCACGTTGACATTTCCCGTTATCTTTGACGTTGGACGGCACCATTTAACTTAACGCTCTTCCCTTTTGGTTTATCCACTCTTGAAACAGGTTTGCGAAAGCGTTTGTTCGTATCTTCTCGCCAGATGACAGCAAGGTCGAGCAGTTCCCCTCTAACCCGTGGACGGGCCGCATCAGCCGCTCGAAGAAGCCCTTCAAGGATGGTTTCGTGAGCAACGCTCCACTCCCACCTAGCTCGGCACTCGAGCCGACTGAAGATGCGGCAGGTTACGTTGAGGACGCCGTGAAGGGTGTCGTAGCGGGCTTCCCAAAGACTGAGGAGGCCGAGCCCAACTGGACCGGCGCAACAACGGTGAGCGCAACGCGAAGAGAAATACTCTTCTTCTGCATGAAACGTAACACTGGCATAGCAAGGAAAAATGTTGTCTAAGCGTTACGAGGACCGTACACAACGGTGGTATGGCATGCTATCATCATCAATTCTGCGTTACGACTTGATTCCTGCTGCTCACTGTCCTACAGGCGTGGCGTGGTGAGGTCCACAAATCCGACAACAAGCGCGATAGCCGTGACGGGTAAGGAGGAAGTGTTGCCTTAAGCTGCCAGACTCCCCAAGACACGGTTTAGGTGTTGAAGGGTTAACAGGGGTGTGTAAATTTGCATGGACGCGATATATAGACATGCTTTGAGCGAGCGGTGCTAGCGAATATGTCTCCATTGGAGACGGAGAACATGTTCAGTTTCCTTCTCTCTCTACCCGTCTTCACCGCCTGACAGCACGAGGCGCGAAAGCTCGCCTGCCTTGTGATGGCGCGTATTAGCGTTGTGCCGCAGCACTGCTTTACAGGCTCGACGATGTGAGCACGCTCTGTGCCCTTAAATTGCTCAGAAGCCAATGCCGCTTGCTCTTGCCTGGATCCTGTACCATGACGTACTGCTTTGTCGTTGATCATCATATTTCGCTCTACTCTGCAGGTTCCACGTGAAGAGGTACTAGGTTCTCAACGAGGGCGATCAGGATGTTAAGGGTTCACGGCTCTTGCCGTAACTGGTGCGTATAGTTGATACCGCGTTTCTTATTGTATGAACTCCCTAGTGTGGAGGGCAAATGGTAAATGGCGATCATAACAGTTAACGGCTCAACATTGGCCGGTGTTCATTCAGTTGCCAGTATGAAAGTTCGTTTGGTTCGCTTGTTGCGCATCATATCTGTGGTCGAGTTTCTCGGTTTTCGTGGAAGAAAGCTTACGTGCATGCACCTTTTTGAAAATCCGTTGGTGACGGCGTTGTAATGTCCAAGCAAATAGGCTTGTCCATCTTTACAAAATTAGGAATCAGATTATTTTCGAAGGGTTGGAGTCTCCTATTTTGATCGTCGATGTCAACAGGTAACTGCACAGTTACTTTCTGCCGCTACGCTGTAATGTACATATTTTTACATCGACCATCCACTGGTACATGAGTGTCGTCATTTCCAATACACAGTTTGACTTTTGTTATGGCGATTGCGTTTTAAGTATTCCAGTACTGTTATGTGCACAAGATTTACGCAGAACGTACACTCATCGGTTAGTAATTCGTTGGCAGGTCGCTTTTTCAGATATGAGGATTATGAGCTCCTATCCGCGGCATTACAGTTCATGCTCGAAACTATCTGGCACTTTTGCCGCCTAGCATCGCCGCTTACTCTTCCAGGTTATTGTAACGAGGAATGTGCTAATGGCGTGTGCTATGTACGTCACTAATACTGCTTCATGACATGTCGAAAGTTTTGCGATACACCTTAGCGGCAGCCAAGTATAAGCAGCAGCCATATCCTGTCCTAACAGTATTAACTACGCCTGGCTGAATTGGATGGGTATCTGGGTCACCACAGACTCTTGCTGTGAGACACACACACACAGACTCTTGCTGTGAGATGCGCATGGATGGACAAAAGACAAGTATGCAGTACTCATCTACGTACATCTCGGAGAACCTCGGCTAATAAGTCTTCCTGAGTCACTCTGCTCCACCGTGGACAAAGGGCAGCTTGTACCTGCCCTTCTCCATGGACTAGACAGCTTTTAACGTACCGCTTCAGTAGTATCCGGCTGTGTGCTTCTGGGTTGGCTTACTCGCGACACAGATTTTGGCCGCCAGCCAACTTGCCCATCAGACAGCCGAGTCGATAGCAATTTCCCGCTTCCGCTGGAACTTGGCCTGTCCGCTGCTGCTGCTGCTGCTGCCATAGCCGTCTGCCGGCAGCGCTGCTACCAGCGGCCAGCCGACGTGATCATAATATAGGATTAGAGTTGTGCATGTCCTTGTCGGTAAACCATGCTGCGGGCGGCCTTCAGCTGGCATCTGCATAACCCTCTGGGACATGTTGCTATCATGTTCCTCCTGCTGCAACCAGCAGCCAACACTGCCAAGCTGGCACCTTCGGCCATGCCGCCGCGTGGTACTAATAGATTATGGCTGTAGTGAAATGCGGCTCTGTGCCTGTCCGTAATGGGAACGGTACTGGCTAGATGCACCGCAAGCCAAATATCTCACAGCTGGACACCTACCACGATAGGGCTACAGCTGGGCTACGTAACCGCAGAAGCTCCGCGAAGTCCCGGGCTGCTGACAAAGTCCTCGGTCAATTTTCGTTCCAAAAATTTCCGTAACAAAAATTTTACATTTCAGATTAAATGGTTCACGATCTACAGTGAACGTACAGCGCACAACTTGCGAATTCGGGCATACGAAAATGTCTACGCGATTGGTCTGCCTGCCACCTTTCTATGTACACACTGGTGGAAACGGACTGGTACAGGCCAGTACAAGTTCTGCCGAAATTCAGTTCATAAATAATTACCCAGGAAACCGCCGCACAACAGGCATCGAGAGGTAATCAGGGCGATACAGGCGGACCTCAAATTATGTAATTGCATCCATTATAGAGCGAAAAAGGCCTGTAGGCAACTAAAGCTGCTATAAAACTCAGTCTTAACGCAACGCATTCAACTCCTGATACCAGAGAGTGCTGTTCATCGTGCACATCGGTACCGTGTGGAAAGTGCCGGCGTGGAAAATGAGGGGAGCGAACGCATCGCGTTCACAGCGTGTGTTCAATAGGAAGACCGTACCGAAAGTCCCTGTGTGCGTGAATGTGGAGGTCCAAACAACCAAGACAGTAGGACACACCACGCGATGGGAAAGGCGGGCGCGGAGATCCGCGTGGCCGCCTGCTTCCCTTCCAAGAAAGTCCGACCTCGATACAGCTTGCCGCCTGTCCACTCTGAAAAAAGCAGCAGGATCGCTGGACCACTGCCCGCGCCACCAGCCTTAGATATCGGATATCGGTGAAAGGTCAACACGAGAACCTAACACGACGACCTCAAGCTTTCATTCATTCGCCGACCACCATATGCACTACCGCACTAACCTTTAATTGCTTTTACCAACAACTCTTCTGCAAACTGACAAGCCAGAACCATGCACATAACGGCTCCAACAATACCTTACAACACAGTTCTCGTTCTGCGAAAAGTATTAGTAAACCAACTAACCTACAAGGCACGTCAGTACTTCATACTGGTACCGATCGGTAACCTACGGCAACAACTATCGACTATGAACGGAAACACCGCGATCCCTGGCTACAGATAATACCGGATTAAAACGCATTTTGGAGGGGCGGCGACTTCGCCTCCCGTCTTCATTACGCGCTTCAGAAGTATCAACTTAATGAAACTGAGTATCGTACAGAGCGCTCAATACGTGGGAGGGTGTGCGCCTATGACTGCAGTAATATGTCAAGTTCCTCCCTGCAGGCACCCCGCAAAGCCCTTACGACGTGTACCAGTTTGCCGAAAATTCAACCAACGCACCACCTGCCACACCAACAAACCTGCGAACCGCAGCTTATGATAATGCCACGAAATAACTTAAATCTCACTAACACGCCGCGCCTGGATAGCTGTAACTGTCCTGCACATCCGCACTGTGCTGCTCGCGCTCAGTGCAGTAGCAAAGAAAATTAACAAAAAAGGGTTTCACTCAAAGCTCTTGTGGAGCACCGAACTCGCGCTTAACTTTGTACGACAGTTAGTAAAGGCCGAAGTGCAAGGAAAATACACATCCGCACCTACGTCCAAAAGGTAACAACACGCGACTGACTAACAGGTTCATTGCCAAGTAACCTATTAACGATGACACTCGAGCATACAGGCCACTACGACTTAGTTGGCTACCAACAGCGCACACACCGTTCAAGTCTGTTTTTCGCTATAGAAACACTGCGACGTCCAATATTGCCTCGGGGTGGAGGGGCTATACCCAACACGCTGCACTTAATATACTCATCTCGACCTAAAGCCTCTAGCTAAGCAAGAACGACACTAGCCCTGAAGTGCGCGCAAGTAATATACGTTAGCGTTCTCCCGCATGCACTGACGAAATCACACATTCAATTAAAGGCTAGCACGCGATGTCAACTCCGCTAATCATTAGAAAGTCGAGGAGCCTTCCAAGCGCATCAACGCATCAGTACCACTAGTACCAAAGTACCAACACCGGAATGACAATCGAAATGCAGAAATGGTGAACACTCCAATGAGGGGGAACATACGTCCACAAATACGAGAAAGTCTTGCACTTTAAAATCCGATACCCTTGCATAAAACACGAAATGGAAATTGATTGCAATCAGACCGAGCATGGCACAGGGCAAGGGACGGATCTGTGGGGCTGGACCGTGTGAAGTCCGAAAGGGGCCAGAGCTCCTGGACGGCGTCCCCGACCAAACGGGCATATCCTTGTGTATCGGGCGTAGGACCAGGACGGCAACCTTAAGAGCTCAACTCGACGAGGTGCCACCCAAGGCCGGTAGAGGTTTACGTAACACCCTAAGCTAGATGAGGGTTGCCGCGCAACCGGACATGCACCATCCTTAGTGGTGAAATATTAACGAAACAGACCTAACGCACTTTTGTCATAATGTCGCAGCTGTTGCAGAGCGCATCGCATCGCTAACTAACTTGGTCCAGCCAACTCAAAGCCAGCTTGAGATACGTAAGGTTCCAAGTTATGACCAAGAATCAAGGCGCCGAGCTTCTGCGCCGACGTGCATCGGTAAAGTTAATAGGCAGAGTCCCGACAGGGGCCTCAATTGATGCCACATCTCCCTGCAAGAAAATTTTCAACAACTTGCAACGCAGAAGGTATACATGTTGACCCAACCCTTTTTGTGTGGTGATGTCTGAAAATGGACATGTCAGCATACAATCCATCTACATACGCCCACCAATGCATACAACCCACGAAATACAATAACGTGCATCCATGCATTCAACCCATCGCCATTACCTCTTAAGCATAGGAGTAAACAATAGGGTAGGATGTAGACATTGACAGAAGCGCACGACTGGGCAGGCGACTATCTGCAGGGAGAAGGCGATGTGAGACAGAATCACCTACAACGCACCATAATCGCCACGACTCCAAAAGCTGGAGCAAGCGGATACCCAGCATCGGCGCACCATCATAACTCTGGAAAAACGTGATGAACCCCAATCCCATGAACATGATCGAGGCAAAGCTTGCTGCCGCGTTTGTTTGCCTCATGCATGCGCAACGCAAGGCCAGTCCCTGGAACTTCTTCTATTTAGCTGTTCTTCCTCAAGAGATCAGCTGCTGCTCCTCACCGCTCACCAATCGGTCAGCATCACCCATTAGGTCGGCAAAACCGAAGGTAAGATCAAAACCGAGCCAAGACAGCGGTATCACCACGGCTTCGCATCCGGTAGCCGATCAAACGAAGGACCAGCAACGCAGTGCACGCAAACGCAGGCACCTGCGACAAGAGAAAACTTAACACATCTCCGCACGCCAGCCACGCCTGCACCGGACTGCAAAATTGACGGCTCAAAAGCAGCCCTGAACTCTTTAAGCACCAAACCTCCCTTCCCACCAAACCTCCCTTCCCACGGCAACATGATACCAAACGCAAGGGGCGCTGCAGTCCTTAACGTGTCAAATAAGTAACACGCTAAGAGAGCGCCAAAGAGTGCAACAAAACGGGCTGGACATGGGGGAACCGGCGCAGTGCAGGCAACAACAAACACCAGAGCAACGACAGCAGACGTCAAACGTACTGAAACCGCCCAATGAAGATTTAAAGATTTAGCCCTGCCGGACACCCGAAGGGCCGACTACGAAAGGCCCTCGCACAGTGCAAGGCGAAGACCAACCATGCAACCGAGGCCATGAGGACCACCTCGAGAAGCGGGCAAAAGGCAATAGCTGGGAGAATTACTTCAAACATTCGATGATGAACATTGTCCATGCTGTGCGCAGTAGTGAAGGCATTAATACAGCGCACCATCCACCCCTCTGCGCGTCTCAGCGAACCGTTTTGGCATCAAATGTGCGCATGCTCATGATGTGCCATACATGTCGCTGCACCCGCACGTAAACCGTGCCTAATCACCGTGTTCACTACTGGAAGATTGCTAGGTTACCCTTCCAAAGCACACAACCAACCACATACCTGCCTTTATTACCAAGTACCGAAATATGCGCGCATCTCTCCCGACGCAAGAAGTCCTGCTTGCGCGTCAATGTGCAGCCACAGACACATTATCCAATTAGCAATGCCGTGTTGGAAGGACCGCAATCCTGCTGTAGCTGAATGTGAAGCTGCTACATGTCGCCAAGCTGTTCGGCAACCACTTTTCGACGAACACCAGCCGGCTAAGCTTCCGTGCCATCTTGTTCCCCGACTCCGACCAGTCGGATGCGGCCACCACTACTGCTGCGGACCGCGCACTGGCCACACACCGATAGCGTCTCGAGGAGCGGCCAGTGGGTCAGTAGAGAGTCAAGGCCGCGCCCAGGGCTGGCGCATGGCCACGAAAGTGGGGTATAAGGAGCCGGTGTATGAGGTGGTGGTGTTGATCGCAGGGCAAACGGGAGGCCGCCGCTCCAAGGGCGTGATGAAAATGCTAAGTCTCCCAGCAGCAGCGGCGGCAGCTGCACATCATCGCACGGCCAAGCAGCTTTATATTGCCCCTCCAACATGTACGACAGGATTTCGAGTCTGCCACCCGCACTCTTGCGTGTGGCGAAGCACGTTGGTTGTTGCGTCTCCGTAATGCACAAGTCCTATAACATAAGAAGGGGGGGCCGATGGGGCAGGTTGGGCTACAGCATGAACCTCTACCATCATCGACTTCCTGTTAGTAATTTAGGCAGGTGGCTGGTAGAGGATAAGGCCTGACTTCTGCTCACGGGTTCAAATCCACCTGCCGACCCCTCGGGTGTGTGAGGGGTGATGAAAGGGTAGGTGGCCCCCCATCTTGTGGGCGGTGTAGGACGTGATAAAAATCAACTTGTGAGCTGACCAGGAACTAAGTTGAGGCGCCTTGATCCGCTAGATTTGGTTGGATGCTGGCGGTGAGTTGCCGAACCCAAAGAGTACACTCTGAAGTCAGATGGGGTGATTGGATTAGGGTGCCCCTCTAGCAGGGGAGAGCAGGGAATTGCCTCGGGAAGGAGGCCACTGGTGAAGCTGTACCATCCTGTAACAATAACAATTTAGCTTCAAGGAAAAAAGAGATCATGCAAACCAAGACAGGCAGGTCATCCTTGACGAGGGCCGCGACTTTGCCGCGCAGCATTCCCTTTGACACGGGAACCCCAACAAATTAGATGGCTGTGGCCCACCTTTATTTTGTTCAGCGCCTTGAGGTGGCGCAGGCACCCCCTCAGTCGGTCCCTCCGCAGTGCATTTCGGCCCGAGGCCCCCAGCTCCAAACAGAGGTGTAGAGACTCCAGGGAGGGAGCCAAACGAGCCAAAGCGGCAAAGTCACCTTCAGCCTGAAGGGGGAAAGATTGGATGGCGGTGCGAAGATTGGATCAGCGTTTGTGTAGGGCCACTGGGTACAAGCGCCACATCCTTAAAAGAATGACGCCATCTTAAATGCCTGTCCGCAGCACTACGCAACAGCCCCGACTACAACAAAACAAGCTACTGCAATCAAAAGCACCTGATGGAGGACTTCACTGCACGACAGCACAGCATTTGAATCTCTGTAAGGACTCACATTCAGGAAGGACCCCTCCCACACCGTGTAGCCTGGCGCGCAGGTGATGTGCAGGGCGCGAAGGCGACGGTGGGCGAGTCGTGGGCCCCAACCGCCACCGCCGCCGTACGTGTCGTCCGTGCCGCCGTACACCTCACATGCCGCGCGGAAGACAGCTCCGTTTAGGGAACACAGCGGGATGGTCAACTCCTCAAGGTGCGGCGGAAAGGACCAACGGCCATCACATCCCGAGTCCAAAGCCAAACCGCCTGTTACGAAGGAATTCAGAGGCGGACAATTGCGGCTCGAGCCTTCGCAACTGCGAACGGTGCCACTGGACCCCACGACGTCCCAGTAGTCACCCTGACCGCCAGGGTAAGTGGTTCCCAAGTTCTCATCCGGAACACTAGTATCATCATCGTCGTCACTGTCGAAAAATGTGCTCATCTGAAGGGCGCTGCACCGCAGCTGCGCAGCGATAGGCATAGGCAAATGAAGGCTGCGCAGGCGCGGCAGGGCGGCCAGGAGTTGCTTGTAGACGGAGGCAGCAACTGCCGCTTCCAGCTGCTTTGTGCGCTGCGCATTGGCCTGGGATTGGTCGGCCTCGGGGCAGGCAGGGGCCAATGTCGCGCTGCATTCCATTGCACCGACCAACGAAAGCTCCTCAAGACCCGTCAGCGCCGACAGGGCTGCCACGTCAGATGTTGAGAATGCGGCATTGCATAGGGACAGCCGCCGCAGTGAGGGCAGGGAGCGCGCGAACTGCACCATGGCCGCGCCACGTGTCCGGATGGAGTCGGCCAGGATTGCGCCCCGGAGGTGCCCCGGCAAGGTCAGCGGGACGGCGCGCAACAAGTTTGTGGCGCCGTCGCTGGCGGCTCTTTGGATAGACACATCTTGCAGCTGCAGCTCTACCAAACCGCACGGGGCGGGGTAGGCTAATGTTGTCGCGGACGGAGGCGGCAGGGGGCTGGACAGATTCAGCACCGCCAACGACGTCAGGGGATGGTGCAGCTTGGCAAGGGCGTCCAGGGCGCCGATCAGCAGGTCGGCGTCGTCCGGCATATAAGATCCCACTGAAGTCTCGTGGCTGCTGGCCTCTTGGACGTCAGCGGAAAAGTTTAAGACTACTTGATATGCATCTGGAAAAGTGCTGAAAACGCGGCGAAGGAGCCCGACGTCCCTACAAAGGTTTTTGGGATTCACCAGTTGGGAAACCTGAGTTTCGGGTCAGTGCCCGAACAGAACAGCTAACCTGCCCCTTTCATGAGTTAGCTGATACGCAAATCAAATAAGCAAACTACGTGCCAAAACAAGATTACTTGGTGCACCCGGGCAGTGAACTGAATTGAAGAATGGCGCGAAACTCCCAGCACTTTTTATCAAACTTACCCGATAACCTTTCGTGGCAGCGTAACTCTAGACGTCATCTTTGCGACTGCAACAGAGAATGCCTTGCAAACAAGGCGCAACATCGCAGCCGAGCCGCTCTCTTGCAGGATACGCTGTGGGTCCGCAGCGGAAATTGCACGTCGGAAATTAGCAGTGCTTTATATCTCCTTCGCCGCTTTTTGCCTTTCCTAGGCTGGCAGGCGTCTTTCAGCCTTTGCAAAAGGTTGGCGGGAAAGCCCCCTAACCGCGCAGATGACGCGCGACGCGACATCTACGCACCTTTAAAAGATGATCAGGTAGCAGAAGAAGCTGTGGGCTGCATTGAGCTGCGACCGCGCGGTAGCCTCCAACCGTGCCAAGGTGCTTATCTACCAGCATTCCCATCCCCAAAGAGCCACATGCAGAGAACCTAAAATGAATTATATTAATTATTGTAATGGCAGAAATATCTAGATGATGCTGATACTTCCTTCAACGTTTGGCAACGCAGTACAATGCGAGGTCCAATCGTACAGGACTCGCAGCTTTCGCACTTTTGTAGGGACATATGGAAGTAATGGGAATCTCTCAAGCCCCAGGCTGATAGGCTGCTGACATCGTTTGATTTGCGCATAAAGGGTTCCCATTCCGTTGGGCAACGTTGGGGCAGTAATCAACGCGGCATCCTAGGTCCCATCCCCCCCTGTGGTCATTGCACTGGTTCACTTAACAGGAAGCCTCGCAAACATAGACAACAAACATCACTATGTGTCTCCGTCAAGAATATGTGTACACGTACCTCTCACATTAAATCAGCGACTTGACTAATGGATACGAGAAACATCTTGACGAGTTTTCGAGTTTACCCAAACAGGGGAACCGGAGGAAATATTTCACTGATAGGGCAGCTTGACTGCTCTTTACCTGAGCGGCTATCTGCGAGACTGCGTCCAAAATTGCATCTGCCCAGGGAAGCCCACCTGCAGGAAACGCGCGGAAACTTTTTCGCCCTGGGCTTGTCTGCAATGGCATATGTTGAAAGCCAACCCACTATGAATTCTTCGCGCTTATCTAATTATCTATAACTAGGTTTACGGAGTCACATTCTTTGTCCCTTATCCCTAGCATAGACCACCCTAACGAACCAACGGCCCATCTGTCGAAAGGTACCTTTCGGTGAGCACGCATCAGTGCAGCACCACAGTGCCGAATAAAATAAATTTAAGATTCCCCCAAGGACATTTGCCTAAATAACTGATATTCTACACGCTTTAGGGCGTGATGGGCCCGCGGGGCCAACCTTCGGACAGCGGCGACGCGACTAGCTTTCCACCCGAAAGCAGCATGTTGCTGCTATCTAGCCTTACTAACTTCCAGTTTATGACACACTTATTATACAACTTCTGCTTATGTGCGTGATGGGCGAACTTGCAGTTGGGTGGGTTACTTGAGATAATCTTTGCCCGGGTCGGACAGCCGGGCGCGGCAAAGAAAGTACCCGACATATGAAGCGACCAGGTGCCTGTGACGAGCTACATCAGTAACCAGGAACTGCGTTTCTTATCCACTGGGAGCCTCGGTTTGCGCAACATCTACATCGCTAGGATTCTTGCTAAGCAGTTCCTTTGGCGAGCCTCAACCTACCAACCCAAGCAATGTCCGCATGTCACATCGGCAAATAGACTTTGCAAGCAGATGCACACGCAACGGCCAACTATTCCATTTCAAGATTGAAGCATGTTGTTGTCTGTGACCTGATGGAAGGGTTGTAGAGTAACGTCGACCAGGGACACCAGGGGCATGTGAGTCATTGGTCTTATAGCAGATTTAAATGCAGCGCTTCCGGCTCGTGCAGCCGCCGCAGCCGCTAGACAACCAAATTCAATATTAGAAAAACATCTGTTCGTCTCAGGTGCAGTGCACGGCCCGCTGGCCCGCTGGCTCTACTCTTGGAGCCCACTGTAAGAACCACACATACCAGGGACGTCCCGTCCTTACGACGTTGGTGGTCTCCTTTCAGAGATATTTCTGACATGGATACAGACACCAGAGCCAGAAACTCTAACAGAGAGCGCATGCCGAAATGCCGCGTTCAAGCTTTGCGTTGATAGTGAGGGCCGCGTTCCGGCCGTAAACGGACACTTCCTCTTCTTTGACCAGAGCTTTCCACAGCCGGAGCGCGCAATTACAGTTTTGTTACTAGGCGCGGAAGCCCGACGCTTAAGCTGTGTTGAAATCAAAGTATAATTCCTGTATGTGGGTTTGGCAACGGCAGGTGTTTGCCTTGAACATGACTGCCAAGTTGTGCATGACTGCTATGTCACGAGCTGCTGCTCTGGCAGTTTACGTTGCCATTTGTCGCCAAGGCTGCTATTTAATGATCTAGGCCGTGATGAGGGAAATGCCGATGGTGGTACACAAATAACTATACCGAAGCGAGCTCCGTCCAGCGACCTGTTAGAAATATAAATAATATCGTAAGCGTAGGACTAATATTCTAACTAGGTATCGATTAAAAAACCCGGTGCCAAGAGCCCATAGAAATAAGCGGCGCTGTAATGGCGAAGGGCGACTAGCCGGTGGGCGCCTAGAACTGACCATGACGGCATTATAAGTCCCAACTGGATAGAAACTAAACACCTATTTTCCTACCATAAGCTAGCGCACAAATTATAGGGCCATGCTACCACAGTGCGTGCGATGCGACGACAAACAGGATGCGCGGCACAACGAAATCTTCCCATGAAAACAGAAGGTTTAATGGCCTAAGGAAAAAAACTAGGAGATAAGGGACGCCGGAGCAGCAGCAGCAGCAGCGGGACAGGTAGGTGTTGTTGTAGGTGAGAGCAGTTGCAAAGGCAGGGACGCACTTGCGACGCGCCGGGGTTCTAACTTAAACATAGATTAAAGTAAATCTAGGAATGAAGGAGGTGTTGGAGTAGGAAGTAAATGGGCGGCGATAAAGGTAAAGGTACGGAAAAGGTACTTGAGCAGACGCAAGACACAGGGGCATTCTGTAGAAACCGAAGAAAAGCGAAGAGTTTTATCTGAGCCGTGATATCGAAAAAAGCTAGGGGGTGATGCTGAGCCGGGGTGTTTATGAGTGCTGGGGCGGGCAATAAGACGAAGGGGTGCGGGTATGTGGCATGATGACAGGCATGGCCGACGCGCGGGTCCGCGCAGCATCGTGGGGCCCAAGTGTCGACTCGCATGACACACCGGGGTTGCAGGTATAAGGGATACAACGGCAGGTGGTAAAGGCACGTGGGAAGGGCACGTGGGGCGGGTGGGCGGACGTGCAGGTCATAAGGAGTTAAGTGGGTTGGGTGGGTGGGTAGCCTCGGTGGGGCAGTTAGGTGGGCGGGCGGGGAGGGTGGAGAGCAGTGAGATGAGATAAAGAGCGGGCAGATGTACTCTTGGCGCCGGTGGAGCGCTCGTATAATACCAATACAACGTCCCCCCGGCTTTTACGGACACACCCGCACTTGTGTGCGGAACTTGTAACTTTACGGCCAGGTCACCATGTGCAGTGGAGGGGCTTGAGGGTAGTTGAGGAAGCGCATCGCTGGTGGGTGTGCATCTTGACGGTGTCGATGTAGTGGCATCGCGTGCAAGATCTAGATGCGTGATGGTTGCATTGGCAGCTGCTAAGCCTTGGGCTCGTGATCCAGTGGCGATAGTACTGGGGGTTAGAGGTGAGGTTGGCCATGACGGTGGAGGCATAGGCTTGGGGTAGTGGATCTGGGGTGGACCTGGGGTAGTGGATCTGGGGTAGTGGATCTGAAAGCTGGCGAGCTCACTGGGCTGTATAGTGTTCACAATCGGCAAGCGAACTTGCGACACCGGCTGACAGGCGCCGACGCCAACTACCTGGCCTCCGAGTCCGAGCGCCTGTGCCGTAAGCCGTTCGCTCAAAATTTGACCCTTTGCCTGTTGTTGACTTGTTTTCTTCGGTGGATTGGCTTTTGCGTCACTGTGACCGAGGTCCATGCTGTGCACCAATAACGTAACCTCGTTCCGGTGGTTGTATTATTATGTCCCATCTCAGACCGCAAAGCGATCTTTTTTCGGCCCGCATCCTGCCTGACTGTGAGGTCATCGCTCAAGCTCAACTAAGTTTCCTTCATAACCTTCGCGCAGGTTGCGCCACAGTTCCTACCTACAAGACCCTACGTACACAAACCAGTCGGCCTGTTGCGACACTATTATACGCCCAAAGTCGGCATATATTTAAAGGTTAGAAAAACAAAACATATTATTTTTCCTTCCTTTTACCACGATGGAAAGACAGGCATGCTACGTTTCGTTTTACAGCGCGCCGCACACAGGACGCGACCACCAGACATGATGCCGTACAACACCACCGCAGCTCCAAAGCCCACCAGTTCCTGCGTACGCCCTAACTCCTCTTCGATGGCAAACATTAAATCCTGCGCCGACGCAAATATTACTATTATGCTGCACCTTTTCGTTACACTACAAGTTCATCATCCTATTTGGCCGTCACAGATGCAGTGGATGTGCACGGACAGCGGCATGCAAGCCATGAGAAACTCGCCGGAATGCCTGAAACAGTTGTGCAAATCACCAGCCGTGCCCAAACCACCTACGAATCCCAAGGCTCCTTAAATGTAAACGCCCTACACAAATACTTCCACCGAGGAATTACAAGATTGATGCACCCACTAAAAACCTGGAAGGCGATATCCATAGATGGATGGCAAGCAGCATGCGCTGCTCTTAAGACATACACGCACACAACATAGTGCACGCCGTAGGATGTATAGGGAGGAACCACCGACCACCAGCAATTCCGCCAAGAGGAGATAGCAAAGGGCGGAGGATCAGGGTTGGTATGCCTGCTGGCCATGCAGCGCGGAGGCGGTGCAACGGCAGTGAAGCTTGCACCGCTGGCTAACGCCTCTGATCATACCTTTACTCCGATGTAGTGTGTATCGCTCCACCGGCTCGGTCCTGGTGCCTTAACGCTCTAAGTATACACTTCCTTCGAAAGAACAATCACGTGCGACAGCTCGTGCAGCTGTGCTGCTCCTTCCATGCAACTCCTCAGCTCGTGCTTCTACCTTAAATCCGGCGCTACAGCTCCCTAGGCATGACAGCGCTAGGAAAGGAGCAATATGCATCACAGCGCCATAATGCGTGCGCACACATTTGTATTCAATACGAAGACACGGACACATAGACATGCGTTTTGAGCGAAATTTTCCCCAAAAACACACACGCATATTTATCCTACACGTGCGAAAAGGCGCTACCCGGCTTTCATGGCCACGTTTTGGATGGGTAAATGATTAGACTGATGACGATGGATGGTGATGCGGCACGGAGAGGAAGCATTCTTCGTTCTATCTCTTAGGCAACCACTATGGACGACGCGCTCTGCCCCTGACACTCAATCGCTCAATGACCAAGCAGAACGGCATACTGTACTGCACTATATTCGGTGGCTAAAAAATTGCCCACGGGATTAGGAAAATGTGGACTGCGGTCCCGGTGACGGCTAGCCCGGTGGACTGGAAAGGGTCAAAGAACCAGCCTGTCGGTACGTAGCCATGCAATGTCGAAAATCCCCCAAATCCCCCATGCAATGTCGAAAAACCCATGCACTATAACTCTCCCTAGGTTCACTCAGAAACCCCTCCGAGGCTCTTGCGTCCAAGACACAAGGAGGCAGAAGAAAAGAAGAAACTGCAACCCACGGCGCCACGTGGCCCCCAATCCGCATACGTAACACGTGCAACTCACTGCCAAAAACATAATCTCACCCTTAATACACGCAACCTCCTTGCATGTCACACACACACGCCGTGCCAGGTGAATTAACCTTGCGGACGACGGGGTGGACAAATAAATGTGAGGATGACATGGCTGCGTGCATGACCTATTCAATCCCATGCCAGATAACAAGCTTAGGAAGCGAATGCCGCATTGGAGAGACGCAGTCGGCCAAGGCCAAGAGAATTAGGGCAACTGCCCCAAAACGCATGCCGCCTGAAAAAAGGGTGCAAACATAGGCCATAGCCATGCGTGCCCACGCTGCTCCTTGATCCGGAAAAACCTGAGCGTGCCCCACAGGTATAACACTATAACCTCAAAATAGGCGCCGGACGGCATCCTGATGATGCGACCGGGAGTACTAGTTACTACCACCTCTTAGCTCTTGTTTGTGTGTTAAGATTACTTAGCGGCGAGAACTGCGGCCGGGCAGAGAAGTTCCCGACAGGACGTCTCGCCGGACAGGGCTAAAGGCCATCGTATCCTACATGGCGGTATGCGACCGCCGGTTCGTCCGTCCGTCCTCCAATCAGCAGGTTTACCTGTCTAATCCGTCCGTCTGGTCAAGCACAATGCGGATACGTGAAGATCTAAAGGATACGAGAAAAATATGGTTATTGGAAGGCCCACGCTGCACGAGTCCACAGACGCCAAAGCATGTACAACACACGGGATTGCTATCGCCTGCCCCATTTCTCGCTAAGCACGCGCGGCAAAGAATTCCCTGGCCGCCGCTTAACGGAAAATTCCCTTCACACGCAGCCTTCACAGGCTCGAGGATCAGCAACCCAAGGAGCTTGCCGCTGGCCCACCATGCTTGGAACGCACAACTCAACAAACACAACCCCAACCGTCCTTTGAACCCCAACCCGCTGCGCATGCTGCAGGCGTACTGGCGGGACCACACAATGGCGATATTGGCAGCACGCGCGGTGCCATACAACAACTCGCAGCAAAAGCCAGCTTATTGACTGTCATTTTGCCTGCTCGAGACGATGACATACGATAACAGATTAAGAACATACCACAAATCTAAATCCTAGAATGCCGGCAGACAAGATAGGGCGGCCGCAAAAGAGCAAGTATGTCCCTGGCACTCAAGGCTAGCGGGCGGCCGCCTGTGCATGCATTTGGGTTTGCTACCCCTTAATCCACACGTAAGCGCAGCATGGCTTGGCCGTGTGCACGCAGGACATGCCGATCAGCTGCACAACCAACCTAGATGCTACCGTCCTGACACACATTTAAAAGCAACCAGAACTCCTGGCTCTGTTATAGAAGCATTTCTTTTGATACCATCCACCTCCCACGCCGACCGTGTACCTTCCAAGCCGCAATAACAAAAATAGCAAAGCTCTCGGCCCTTATGAGTTTCATTATTGCCAGGTGGAAAGGAAGCAAGGAGCCAGCCGACATTTCCGACGCCCCAGCTCATGCCCTCGAGGAAATTTCGTCTAGGCATGGCCGAGCGCGGCGGCTATGCAGCGGCTACGTGCGTAGGGTGGACAAATCCACGCTGCTCGCCATTCCGACCAATGCATCGCTCTCATTCAACAGAGCGCCAAGCCGGTAGCCATCCACAACCATGTCCAAACCAAAGAAGCAACCGCGCAACCACGAAGAATGTGAAGCTCAATCATGCCCCTCAAACCTTTCCCATCGCCAACCAGATTTGGCTCGGATCATAAAGTGCAAGAACTGATAAATGGTTTGGTTTGCCAAGCAGTGCAACGCCGCCGGGAAGGCTGCTTTGATTTAATACCATGTTAGAGATAGCATTCAACCGCCTCGCATAACATTCGCTCAGCTCCACCTCCATGCCATACCAGCGCAATGCTACTTTAATTTCTCCATTCAAGGGCCATAATACTTATTATTTCAGCACTCCATATGAAGGACGGGAACCCACGGCGAGCATTCATCCGTTCAACCCTCCAGCAACAGTCGGCTATGATGCCAGTGGCAACACGTCATCATGCATGAAGGAACTCCGTTACCAAGCATGCACTTAATGCTCCTAATTAAACCACTCTTCAACATGCTGCTACAGCTGCCTGCATTCGCTGTCGCCAATCTTGTCCCCCTATTCCAGTGGCACCAGTCGGATGCGGCCACCACTACTGCTGCGGACCGCGCACTGGCCACACACCGATAGCGTCTCGAGGAGCGGCCAGTGGGTCAGTAGAGAGTCAAGGCAGCGCCCAGGGCTGGCGCATGGCCACGAAAGTGGCGTGGAATCCAGTGCAAAAAGTGGTAACGGCACTGCCAGTTGGGCAAATAGGAGACCGCCATTCCAAGGGCGTGCAGCATAGGATCCATTGCCGAGGAGAGACAAGGGCGGCAGTCGGACATCAGCGCACAGCCGAGCAGCCTCGTGTGGCTCGTCCAGGAGGTAAGATATTATGTCCTGCTTGGCACCTGGAACCTTGCGCACAGCAAAGCACGTGGGCTGCTGCGTCTCCGCAATGCGCAAGTCCTGTGGGACAATACACGGCGTGGGTCAGCAGTAAGGAAGGACTCCCCTCTTTAGGGACATGTCGGGACATGTAGGCTGACGTGATGCCCAGCCAGAAATCCCTAACCTCACAGTTTTTGAAATTAGGGATTACGAATACTGGGACAAAAGGAAGAACTGTTCAGCAAACTTCCGTCCCGTCAGACTTATAAATTACTCCCTCTTCAGCCCTCCAGAGCTCCGGCCCACCTTTATTTTGTTCAGCGCCTTTAGGTGGCGCAGGCACCCCCTCAGTCGGTCCCTCCGCAGTGCATTTCGGCCCGAGGCCCCCAGCTCCAAACAGAGGTGTAGAGACTCCAGGGAGGGAGCCAAGCGAGCCAAAACGGCAAAGTCACCTTCAGCCTGCAGCCCGGGAAGGGGGGAAACACGGGGTATTTGATGTGGTGAGGGTTTCAGCGGTTGCGCTGGGGCCGGCGGGCTCAGTCGAAACGAGTTGCAACTGGGTCTCCAGCAACAGCAACCGGCGACGCACACCGCAGTTGCCGGAGGGCGTCAGTGCAGCTACGCAAGTAAGAGCCAAACTTGGAGATCTCTAAGCCCCCAAACCGCAATACATTAATGTCTTTTTACCTTACCGCCTACGGATGGATCAGGCAAAGGTGACACAATCCTTTCTATCGGATTGGGATACGACCGCTGAAGACAAACACGCGAAACAACAATGCCTTCTGTTGTCTCTCCATCTGGTCTGGGTCACACTCTTGCGCGTTCTGGACGCACGCACAAGCAGGGGCTGAGGTGTATCTCACGTTGAGAAAGGAACCTTGGGAAGTCGTGTAGCCAGGCGCGCAGGTGATGTGCAGGGCGCGAAGGCGCCGGTGGGGGGCCCATGCCCCGCCACTATCGTCTCCGTACGTGTCGTCCATGCCGCCGTACACCTCACATGCCGCGCGGAAGACAGGCCCGTTTAGGGAACACAGCGGGATGGTCAACTCCTCAAGGTGCGGAGGAAACGACCAGCGGCACCTGCACGCTCTATCCATGGTGCAAACACACGTCTCAGCCGATCCGTCTCCCATGTCACCTAGCTCAATGGTCTGGTATTGAACTGCAATTTGGGTATTGGATTCTCGGCCTAGATGAAGTTGAGCTCCGCCCTTGCCAAAGTCCTGGACGGCGCCCTCCCTGGTGCGGCTGGCCTCCTCGTTGCCAGAGACCGGCATACGCAAACGGCCACCAAAACCCGCTCCGCCAGCATAATCGACGTCGGCGTCGTCATCGTCGCTATCGGAAAGGTCCCCGCCCACCCATCCTCCATGAGAGACGGAAATGGCCATAGGCAAGTGGAGGCTGCGCAGTCGCGGCAGGGCAGCCAGGAGCTGCTGGTGCACGGGTACAGCCACCATTGCTTCCAGCAGCTTGGGTCGTTGCGTTCGAATTTGGGAATGCGTGGCCTCGGGGCAGGCAGGGGCCAATGTCGCGCTGCATTCCATTGCACCGACCAACGAAAGCTCCTCAAGACCCGTCAGCGCCGACAGGGCTGCCACGTCGGATGTTGAGAATGCGGCATTGCACAGGGACAGCCGCCGCAGGGAGGGCAGGGAGCGCGCGAACTGCACCATGGCCGCGCCACGTGTCCGGATGGAGTCGGCCAGGGAGCCGACCATGGGCTGGCGCTCTAGGGATTGTGGAAATGAGCGCAACAAGTTTGTGGCGCCGTCGCTGGTGGCTCTTTGGATAGACACATCTTGCAGCTGCAGCTCTACCAAACCGCACGAGGTGAGGTAGGCTAATGTTGTCGCGGACGGAGGCGGCAGGGGGCTGGACAGATTCAGCACCGCCAACGACGTCAGAGGATGACGCAGCTTAGCAAGGGTGTCCAGCGTTCTGGCAAACAGCACGGCGTCGTCATCATTATCTTCAGCCACAACGTCGCGACAACCGTGGGTAGGCTGTATTTTACTATCGAAAAGGTCCAGCACGATGCGTGTAGTATTCGGAAAAGTCGCGAAGGATCGGCCAAGGGCCTCATGGTTCCTGCAAAAGGTCTTTCATTGCCTTAGATCCACTGGCAAGGCGGCCCCGGCGTTGAGGTCACGTAAGACGTTCACACGTACGCACCTCAAAACCCCTCTTGGCAGCTTCAGGTCTTTAATTGATTTAGATATGGTGACATAGAAAGCCTTGCAGACGAACCGGAGCTCTCCCTTTTGCTCCGTCGCCAGGAGAATCCGCTGCAGGGGCCCGCCCAAGTCATGCCCAAATGAAGTAATTGTGTAAAAGATGGAGTGGCAGTTTATACTGAATATAGATATAAGCGCACGCCAGTTCCAGATGTCAGAGCCTCGGTGAAGCGCAACCAGACCTGTGCACATTGAAAGCTTCCCCTGAATTTTTCTTTCTCACCTCCAAGACCGTCTCAGGAAGCAAGAGCAAAGCTGCTTCCGTGTTCAGCGAAGTCAGAGGTGCCCAAGTATCACGTCTACCAACATTGGATTCCTGCCCTAACATGGCTGGTAGAACCGTTACGTCAACAGCGGCTTTCTGCAACTGCAACGTGATGCCACAAAAGCATGTAACAGAGGTAACCAGAAATTCCACCCGCAAAGATCAAGCTGCGGCGTTACCGTTGACAGCTCGTACTTTTAGGGCTCTCCAGGGTCCAGGCCTGGAATCACGAAAGAAGCATGTGCTTTTGAAATACCAATCGAAATTGTTGTTCTTTTAGCTGACATATGTAAACAAACAGCTTAACGCAATTAAGTTCTTCAAAACACGCCGCGCAAGCTTGACATTTTAACATAAAGTTCGTAGATATATAGTTGTACCTTGGGTGGAATAAGAGCCATTCCAGGGCGATCGCGCATCGCCCAATGCAAAGATGAGAACGTCAGCTCAGCCATTATTTATTTAACCCTCCGAACGCATTTTCACGGGGTATGCGGGTTACGGATGAACGCAGGCAAACCTCTAGATTCAATTTGGGTCGTCAGGTGGAGTCATACGGACAAACCGTAAGGTTTTGGATGCTCAGGACACGTACCGAACTACCCACGTGACTCAAAGATCAACAGTTGATATTTTTACTGGGATATGCCATAACATCTGGCTTTTGACCACCGTGGGCATAGAAGTTACTAGAAAAACTAAACCCAACAATCATTTTGGGCTCCAAGCCATCTGTCCAAGACCTCATTAGCGGTTAACCCTCCAGCTGGAGCCTGCAGGCCCAAGGCGCGAGATTCCCTGGCTGCAGTTTGGCGTCCGCCAACCTCTCCAACCGCTGAAGGCCCAAAACGCGTTCCGGCAATCGCCAATCGGTCCCTGAAGCCGGTATACGAAAAATGTCCATCACCTGTGGCTGGTTACTCGAATGATGCATGGCCATACAAGTGATGCGTTGTCCCGCAGGCGCGTGCATTCGCGCCTATTCTTGCCAGATTCGCACGTAGCTGATGTTCAAACTCCAGGTTGCATGATTCCGCTCCATAATTCGGCCTGCCAAACGATGCTATTGACCGTATTGACCTATCTCCTAATTTAAGCCGAACCATCCTTCTCTAGGAGCGATCCCAGCTCCTGGCTGCTAATGAAACAAACAGACAACAGGGAAGGGCGAAAAACATCAGGAACTACCTTTTCATTGCACATGGCAACACGGGCAGCGCTCTTGATTCATCTCCGACGACTTGGAAAGCCCCCCGGGCCTAGTCCTTCAGCCCGATCTGGACCGATGGCATCCATGATGCGCAGCTAAATCCCACTGTATGATCGTCTGTCTGTCTGTCTCATGTGCCGCAGGATTGTTCCGTCCGTGCTTCATATGGCTCCATTACGGTCAACCGAGTTTTGTCCCGGCCGGGTAACCCATTGGTAGGGTAGCCTTTCGGTAGGGTGACCCATCGGTAGGGTAAAGGCCCCTTTTTTAAATAACCCCTACCGACCGGTTGGGCCCAGTTACTCATCGGTGACCGGCCGGTCGGATGAATGCCATAGGGTCCGTTTGGCATCACAGGGCGCGGCGTTGCTTAACGTTGATCACCTTGACCAGTCAGAAGGATGCTGCCAGCCCAGCCTAACTTGCCCTTTCAAGTGCACTGTACCGGGGTTCGTGCATCCATGTTGCCGTGGTTATGCAGGTTTTGCTGTAAACCTGGGTGTCACAATGGCCACGCTATCAGCATGCGACTGTTGCCACACGGTTATCCCTCACCCTGGGCTGTTTACCCACATATGAACCACCACTCGGCGGGACCAAAGGACGTGCTCTTTACTTTGCAAGACGCTTTATTCAGCAGTTAATTGCGACATATTAATCTTTCTCTAAGGCCCGGCTTGTCCTTCTTGCGTGAGTTGAATGGACCGAGTCACCGTTTCATGTACCAAAGGCGTAAGCTCTCCATTCGTCGCAAATGAACTTCATTGTCTGACGTAAACACTAGGTGCAACATAGTTGCCGTGGCGCTGCTGACGCTCCTGCTGCCGATGATGCCATACCGATGGTCTTGCTGTCCTACAGTTCAGCGACATGCTCCAGACATACGTTGCCTGTGCCGGTGTCCCTAATAAGAGGCAAAAACACGACCGGCGAAACCTTTCGCGGCGTTTCAGCGAGAAGTTAATACAGGATTCCTCTAGGCCAGGGGACGCCAGTGTCTGCTGGCGCTGTCCAGCCCTGTCCAGCCAGGGTTTCCTAGGTTCCTTAGGCACCCGTACTGCCACCGAAACCAAATAAACATTTGCAAAGAAGACGAGCAGCTCCTGCTATTACACAGGTCAGCAACAGCTTTGAGGCAAGGAGTTGCGTAGGATAAACAAACAGATGAACACGCGCTTCAGTTGCTCGAGTGTACTCATCCTCGCCCTTTACATCTCCTGGCTCAGTCCCTTCAAAACAGATGCACATACACCACGCAGCCACAAAGAAGAACTGGAGGACATCCACGTCGCTGCCCTGGCCTTTTGCTTTGCAAGTGCTACAGAATGTCCTGTGAGAGAGCCCTTATAAGCTCCTGCCATTTCAATCCAAACAGCACAATAGCGTCACTGTGTCCATCCGTGTATGTAGGTTTGTTGCTCATGTGTCATTCCTTACGCGACTTCGTCGCGCATGGCACGTAATGGTAGGCAACATCAAAGAGCACCAAGAGCACGAAAAGGCGTGGCGAGGCGCAGACATCCGCGTAGCTGAGGGGACGAAGATGCGCCACTATTTTACCTGGCTGTCCCGGGGCGACGGCGCAGAACAGCGGATGGCGACAAAACCAAATCCTGTCATGCTACCGATGTGATGTAATAAAGCCAACAAGGATTTCGACCATGGCCAGGACCGTGATAAGATCAGGAGACCGTACACTACGCCGAACGAACACTAGGAGAGCTTTGGGGGACAGATTCAACCTCGTACTACTTTTGGACTTACAAGAGCAACTTACAGAGGAACGCAACGTCCCCCTACACATGTCTAGTAAAGAGGGACGCGCCGTAGCCCTTGCATTCCGGCACGCATGAACCAACTGGGGGCAGGTTCTAGCGTTTGCGCGGCACAGCACGCGAAGGAGTCACGATTAGAATAATCTCCTTGCATCCCCTGGCCGTCCACCGACCCTGGAAGGGCCTTCCACCGTTAACGTCTTCGGGGGTCGAATGTGGCGGCTGGCCGCACAAGGATTCAAAGGCAAGGACTGGTCGGACGGCCCCGGCGACACGGTCACCCTAGCAATCACCACAACAATGACATTGCCAAACAACTATACATCGTATTGATACCTAATTGTTCTCTACGACTATAATTGCATTGCAGAACGGTGTCCTTTACTCGTGTACTTCGATTTGAAAGCTGTTCGCGGTACGCGCATGTACGAGGTACTTCCCAAGGCCCAGGCAACCGCCGGGTCCCGGACAGCCCTTCTTCGAGTGTGAGCAACCAAACCAAAACAAGACCAGCGAAATGCCTACATAACATCTTTCATCTAACGCAATTCATTTGCGATTGCCATGTAATCGTGTGGTACGTCGTCCTTCCATGACACCACCACACAACGCAGTACCGCACGCAACCAGCAACATCTGCGCTTCAGAAGCGCCAACAGGATCCCGCAAAAAGACATCATTATTGTTGCAGACAATGAGATCCCTAAACAACAAGCTGCATCAAAAAAACTAAGCAATTAGCAAGAGACAGCTGCCACGCTACCAACAAACATCTCTTAACAAACTTAAAAGGACTATCAACGCGATGGATGAAAAAATAAACCCAAAGTCCGCAGCAAAAAACGGCAACAACAACGTCGCACCAGCCTACCCTATCGCTTACTACCTAGTAAGAAAGCAATTGTACGGAAAGGTAAAAATGTTGCAGAAATATCCAGTCCGGCGTCAGGCCAGTTGCTACAGGTCCTTGGTGCTGCGAAACCACCACACAAAAGCCCCCGACTGTGATTGCCGGGATCACCTTCCAACCGCAGCGCGATGGTCAAGGGACCTTCGGTACTGCCGTAAAAATGCACAACCTACAACTTTGCATGAACAACCAATCTTTCCATAATCACTAGTCGGTTCAGTGAAACCACAGACTCCTTGTCGCAGGCTACACCTGAAGGATACCTCTCCGGTCCTTGTACCGCCAGTCAACTACTACCTACCAACTAACATCAACTACTGCGGCATTCACGAGCCTCTAAACCATGATAACCTTCCATCGCAGCATCCCGCATCGCATGTATGTATGTATATATGTATGGAGGTATGTCCACATACTAAACAAGCACCGCTGCTAGCTGCTGTCAGTTTTCCTCAAAAGAAATCGCCCTTCGTCTTATCACCGTCCTTCCACCATCTTATTTGGGAGGCCAGGCACGTCGCGCTGAGGCGCTTCGCCCTGAAGCGGACGAGGGAGAATGAAGATGACCTCCCGCGTACCCGCATCAATACCAATACAACGTCCATGGCCCCCCCGGCTTTTACGGACACACCCGCACTTGTGAGCAGAACTTGTAACTTGTAACGATTTGCCCTCGTCGCCGTACCGACTCTCAAGGATTCAGCCATGCAACCAGCAAGGCTCCCGACGTGCTTCACCCCAGCAAGGGCACCCGGGCCCATCGTGGTGTGCCTGCGCGCTCGTGTGCGAACGAGGAGGGGCAGCAGCCGCAGCTGCGGCAGCCGAGTGCACATCCCCCCGTGACCTGGGTCATCGAACCGCACCGCGCCGCACCTCCGCGACCACCTCTCTTTCCATTAACCCAAGCCGCGACGTGTATTCACTCCGTCCGTTAAACTGCGTCTTAATTGTACTTTGTCGAGATGCTCCTTGGAACGTATTTCCCCTCTCGCCAGGGCTTTCCCTCCCCAAAAACCCGCACATCCACACACGCATATCCACACACGCATATCCACACACGCATATCCACATACAGACGCACATACAGCCAGAGGTGCGGATGTAACTCTAGCGCCTATTCCAAGGGCGGCGGGGCCCATCCGTCCAGTGGGCAAAACCAAACCCGCATCGTATCAGAGAACCGGAACGGAAGCGCAACAGGACGAGGGACCAGAGAAATGGCACCCGCCGGGGCCCAAACACGAAAACAAACACGTCACACACGCGCCCACCTGCGCAAACATGCACGAATTAGTACAACCCAGCGACGGAGCACCTGGGTTAATATCGACCGACCAAAACAAGCTGTTCTAGCGACCAGTAGTACGAGCCTCAGGAGCTAGCCCTGCCTAGGCAGCAGGCAAACGATAACCATCCGTCCGGTCACCGGCAGATGTTTAGTCTGCCAGCCGATATCAACCCGTCCAGCCGTGGCGGAAAAGAACAGGAACGGCCAAGCGAACCACGCCAGACCAACCGTGTTCCAACGGAGTTCTTAAACCAACCAACCAACCAACTGATGAACGTTCAAACTCGCCCATCGATTTCCATTAGTAAAATCTTAGCGTCTAAACTGAGGACACCTGCGCCCACACAGGCACACAAACCTACGGTATATACACAACTACGCAAATGCGCACCACCACGCGCCAGGTCGTCGTTGTGTTGTTCGTGTGTTTCATATCCACACCCAGATCGACCCACCACGGTACAGACGCACATCGGCGCACCTCGCTGCGTTTTCTAGCGCCTCGCCACTGCTGCGATCACATGCGCTTATGCTGGGGCAAAAGGAGAAACCCATTAACGTCACCACCACTACCACCACTACTGCTGCTGCAGCCCCTGTGTCGCCGTCACGCAAATTAACACCGGTGGTATCCGGTCGACCTGTTCACGCCTACCACCATCATATAGACCGAACGGACCTGTGCATCACTCATCAGATGTCATGTCTGCTGCCGGACAACAACAACAACACCCCCCTGGCGGCCCAAACTGGTGGATGAAGGTTAGATAAATGAATCGCGTATTTTGACGCGTATTGACCAATCGACCGAACGAACGACCGCGGAGCGTGCTTTCCGCACGAACAGCGAACAAACGAACGAATCGATCAGATCTATATGGTTCGGACCGGGACTAATCGAGCCCCGAACAAAACAAAAGCCACCTAGCTAGGGGTGGTTTGGGTTCACCCTACGGCCCTGCGGGGCATCCCGCATCCTAGCGCGCATGCGAGTTTGTATGTATAAATGAGCGTAGATGTATGCGTATGAGTGTATATATACACATATATGTGTATGTGCTGCCGCGAAGGACGATAAATAACCATTGGATACTTAATGCACTTAATGCGCCTTGCCTCGCCTTCTTCGCCCATGCGCAACAGCGTCCACCAGCCAACTTCCAACCGGTACCAACCAACCAACCAACTAATCACCAAACCCTAGCCGTGCGAGGTCCCCCGGACACAGCAGAAGCTCCACATCGAGGCAAGACTCCCAAACGCTTTCCCGCGTCCCAATTACCGGCTGGATTTCAGCCGAAACAAGGGTAAAGAATAACCCTTGCACGCTACACTACTACGCTATAACCTCAGACGTCAAGTCCCCAAAAGTTAAAAAACCGAGCAGCTGCCGCTTCATGGTATCGCGTCGCAGCTGTTGCTGCAGCTGCTGATAACCTGTATGTATGTATACCCAGCTGCTGCTGCTGCTGCTACGCGATGATTACAACTGCCGCAGTTACCACTACTCGCAGCTAGAGCCGTACTCGCAGCTAGAGCCGTTGCCTCAGATGTCGCTACATCCCTCCTTCAACATGCTGTTACAGCTGCCTGCATTCGCTGCCGCCAATCTTGTCCCCCTATTCCGGTGGCACCAGTCGGATGCGGCCACCACTACTGCTGCGGACCGCGCACTGGCCACACACCGATAGCGTCTCGAGGAGCGGCCAGTGGGTCAGTAGAGAGTCAAGGCCGCGCCCAGGGCTGGCGCATGGCCACGAAAGTGGCGTGGAATCCAGTGCAAAAAGTGGTAACGGCACTGCCAGTTGGGCAAAAAAAAGGAGACCGCCATTCCAAGGGCGACGAAACTGGGGCTTGGATCACAACTGGGGCTGGACCTGGGGCTGGCGCAGCCCCACTGGGATGTTGACCGCGGCACGGAATGCGGAGGCAGTGGTGAAGGAGGCGACTGCCCCGAAGGGGGTGCCAACGGTGGTCAAGGGACCAGGACCACACGAGGTGACATTGAGGACAGGATTTACAGCGAGTGGAAGCCGCGGCATGGCTGGCAGAGGCGACGGAGGAGGAAAGCGGAGTCCGCTGGCCAAGGGACCAAGCGTCGGTCCGATGACCCTTGGGTCGGTAAGGCGCGGCATTCGCGGCAACGGAGCTGTCCCTACCCCCGCTAGAGGCAGCAACGGCGGCGGCGACGTCGTCAGCAAGGGCGTCCGTCGGCGGGTGGTACCGTCGCAGGTGCCAAGTTCGCCAGGATTACCACCCAGCAGACCGTACAAGGGATCCGTGTTTGCTCGGCACTCTCCAACAACATCGCAGCCTCCGGCACCATCAACGGCGGCTCTACCACTCGTCGCACGGACGGGCGATGACTTGCGGGTGGAGAAGCACGTCGGCTGTCGTGACTCGTCAACGCGAAGATCCTGAGGGAGGCGACCGCCCGGGGGGCTTGTTCACTTCCAGATCCAGAATCAGAATCACGTTACCTACAAAAAATGATCTTGTCTATTTTTTCCTAGCTACTTACTAGGGACTCTTGACCGCGGGTGCCGAGGGCGAGGGAAGGGGAGATGAGGGCAGGTTTTGCGACGTATTCAGCCATCAGCGCAACCCGGTATGGTACCCGGGTCCCCTCGGTACTACCCATGAGGTGGCGACTCTCCCCAACTCCCCAATTTTCCGCGGTCTACGGTCTACCCATCCCTCTTGTGGTGGTTCTCGGCAACCACCTCGAGTGGAATAGAGAGGGGAGTCTGTCCCTCCCACCAATCTCTGAGCGAAACGTGTACATCAAAACAGCCACATGCTTGACTTCAAAATGAGGAAGCACAGCGTAGCGCGGATTGTACCTAGTAGTACCTAGTAGTACGGGAAAGAGCGAAAGATGGCTCTGGCCCACCTTCATTTTGTTCAGCGCCCTGAGGTGGCGCAGGCACCCCCTCAGTCGGTCCCTCCGCAGTGCATTTCGGCCCGAGGCCCCCAGCTCCAAACAGAGGTGTAGAGACTCCAGGGAGGGAGCCAAGCGAGCCAAAGCGGCAAAGTCACCTTCAGCCTGCAGCCCGGGAAGGGGGGAAACACGGGGTGTTTGATGTGGTGAGGGTTTCAGCGGGTGCGCTGGGGCCGGCAGGCTCAGTCGAAACGAGTTGCAACTGGGTCTCCAGCAACAGCAACCGGCGACGACCAAGTACATACGGCAGTTGCTGGCAATTCTAGCTCAACGGAATGTCAAGCGCAAGAGCCATCCCCAAACATATCCGAAAAGCCACCAGTGAGCGGCAGCAGCACCAGCAGCATCTGTTACATCTGTGCTTTAGCGCATCCAAAAGCAGCTGGCGACAACTCACATTAAGGAAGGACCCCTCCCACTTTGAGTAGCCAGGCGCGCAGGTGATGTGCAAGGCGCGAAGGCGACGGTGGGGGAGCCTTGCCGCGCCACTATCGTCTCCGTACGTGTCGTCCATGCCGCCGTACACCTCACATGCCGCGCGGAAGACAGGCCCGTTTAGGGAACACAGCGGGATGGTCAACTCCTCAAGGTGCGGCGGAAAGGACCAGCAGCTCTTCATAGACATCTCGGAGTCCGAGAGGCCATCTGGGGCCGCGTTCGGTCCCGCCGTCGCCACCACAGCCGCCGTAGATGCCGTCATCGTATTTGCCAACCCTGGGTGTGGAGATCGGTAAGGTGACGTTGGCACAGGCTCCCGCGGTTCCGGCTGCGCTGCGGTGTCCGGCTGCAGAACGCGTAACACTGCTCCTGAGAGCACCCCGCACACCCCACGCCCCCGGGGGTAATCGCGGTAGTCCAGGTCGCGGTCACCTCCACTAGCGCCCCCGGCGTCGTTCTTGTCGACGAGCGTCGTAAGGCACTGCGAGCTCCCAGCAGTCGGCCGCAGCGCAAAGTTGACGACGGACGGCGACCACTCCAACCCTTGACGTTCTGGAGGATCAGAAATGATGTGGAACGGACCGGGAGTCGGAAGCGGCAGCGGTTCAAAGCCTGGAGAGGCAAAAAAGCCCCCGTCAGCACCGCCACTGCTGCTGTTGCTGCTGCTCGGGACATCTGTGTAGGCTGCGCTGCCGGCGTCGCTCAAGGATTCATTACGATATTCATTTTGAGATGCCTTGACTGCGATGCTGCTGGGGCAGACTGTCCTCAGGGCGCTCAGGGATAGCCAGCACCCGGTGCCTCCATCAAGCATCATCGCCCAGCTGGTTGCGGTTGTCGTCATCCTGCCCTGGTCCATTTCATCATGCGCATCTTCATCGCTGTCCCAGCCGTTAGTTGCCGTACTTTTGCCGTATACATCCGACGGTGCGGCTATGGCCATAGGCAAATGAAGGCTGCGAAGACGCGGCAGGGCGGCCAGGAGTTGCTTGTAGACGGAGGCAGCAACTGCCGCTTCCAGCTGCTTTGTGCGCTGCGCGCTGGCCTGGGATTGGTCGGCCTCGGGGCAGGCAGGGGCCAATGTCGCGCTGCATTCCATTGCACCGACCAACGAAAGCTCCTCAAGACCCGTCAGCGCCGACAGGGCTGCCACGTCAGATGTTGAGAATGCGGCATTGCACAGGGACAGCCGCCGCAGGGAGGGCAGGGAGCGCGCGAACTGCACCATGGCCGCGCCACGTGTCCGGATGGAGTCGGCCAGGGAGCCGACCATGGGCTGGCGCTCTAGGGATTGTGGAAATGAGCGCAACAAGTTTGTGGCGCCGTCGCTGGCGGCTCTCTGGATAGACACATCTTGCAGCTGCAGCTCTACCAAACCGCACGAGGTGAGGTAGGCTAATGTTGTCGCGGACGGAGGCGGCAGGGGGCTGGACAGATTCAGCACCGCCAACGACGTCAGAGGATGACGCAGCTTAGCAAGGGTGTCCAGGGCGGCGGCAAACAGCGCGGCGTCGTCATCGTCGTCATAGGCATGCATAAAATTTCTCCCAGGAAAGAAGTCTATAACTACGCGCCCTGTTTGCTCGCGCAGTAGGGAGCAAAGCCGATTGGTGTCCCTGTAATGCGCAGCGATACTGTCAAATAGGTAACATACTTGTTCCTTGGTATGGAACGCGTAGCAAGACAGCAAATATATTCATGTCGCCCAGACACGGGTCCCAACATGTGCAGGCGAAGTTTGGCTAGCTACATTACCTCAACTCACCGTAAGGCTGCCCGAAAAATCTCTGTCGCCATCCCGAAATTTGCGGCAACTTTCGAAGCGGACAGGGGTATGGGACGAAAATTGCCGCTGTGAACTACAAAACTTGGCTCCAGGACAGTCTGTGGCTTGGAACAGATTTTATGACGTATTTAAATGAATTGCAATTAAAGAAATGACATCCGGCTAAGAACATGAACCGAAGAGCTGCCTCCGGTGGCAACACAACAGCCAGCTGCGTCACTCATGGCGGGAATTTAACGGGCACCTCACCAATCGTTGCTCACATAGAGCAGTGATCTCCAGTGTTAGACCTTACCAAAAGGTTATTTGTAAGAAATAGCATGTATTTAAGGGTGTGCCTGAACCTTTTGTGGCCATCCTGGGTGAAGTACGACACCGATATGTCAGACGGGCCGTGTGCTTACAATCGTGCTATGATAACTCCCGTCTGATGTGTTTACTTAAACGTTTTAGTATGTACCTGTGGATGCCATACATAGCAAAGATAACCAGCTTAACGCCTGTACGATTGGGAAAAAAAGTCGCGCCAAAACGGACGCTCCAACCGCTTTGCGCGTATCCATGGTGTGTTGCGTATATGGATGGACCGAAGTTGCGGCTCCAATATATTTTCAGTTAACAACGTGTTATGCATATGTTTACATGCCTAAGAGTGCCTGACTTATTGTGTTTCAAGAAGGGGAGGGTTCAAAGTTGGCAAGTAGTCACACATTATACGCACGTGGTACTTGTTGCTTGTGACCCGGCTCGCAATTCGAAAAGCTTGCCCGTGCTATTTAAACGGATTCCAGATTAGCATCCCTCCGTTCAACAACTGACAGCCTACCCTGCCGCAACGGTTATCCGGTGCCGGAACTCACAACGCATCAAACCTGGCGAACAACGGATCCGTTTCACAAGACCCGCTTTATCGCTTCTCATATTTCCTTAGCATCATTCAATCTACTTAAGCTGGGATTCCCCAGTGCGCGAAGGCAGGATTATGGCGCGATTCTGGTCTTTGCAAATCTTATAAGACGAACAACTCTGAAGGGGCGCCAAGCACTTTGCCAATTGGCCCAAATGCAATTTGCAGCGCCCGCGCTTTCCGGCACATGCATTGATAAAATCGAAATCATAATAGCAAGAACCTCCTATGTGGACTTGTGTGGGCAACATCTGTTGAGGGTTGATGAACGGAACTGGTGCAACTGCCCGCCCGCCCAGTTTAGTGAACGCCTCGGCAACGCACAGGGAAACGCCTCCGCCAACTGCCCGTCACTCCCTAACATCTCCAGATCCTTCGGAAGGCTCCGCTACGCTTTCTTCACCAGACCATTCCCCTGCCCAGTCCGAATGGGTGCTACGAGCCATTAACGCGCAATTGCAGCCGTTAAAAGCTCCATCAGCTTCGATAGAGACTTCTGCCTGCGAGTCAAGGCCACGGAAGATTTTACCTCTTGGAACGGCCTTTGACTGGCCCCGTACAGATAACGCCGAAGGGCTTGCAGCACCAAGCGGTGGCCACCAAGTAGGGGATCGGGGCGCGTACGCTACGGCTGGTACTGCCGCCGCGCATATGCCTCCGCTTGCATCTCCTCTGCCGCCGCAAGTTCCCCCAGACGCTCCCTGTGTGTAAGCACACGGCTGCTCAACCTGGTCCCCACAGAACCAAGGCGTCGAGTCTGTTTCTATTAAATGTGAAGAGGGGGATGTCTGCAGGCTGGCTGGTGTTGGCTAGCGTCCCGAAGCTCACCTTAATTAGCAGACCACGGGAGTGACGCCTCGGAGAAGCTTCAGGTATACATCGGACTTCTGGCAGATGGATTGCGTATCCGCCATATTTTCATCATCAAAGCACAACGAGTAGGTTGCAGACCTGCTTGAACATTTCTTGTTAAGCCGATTTAGGTCAGAATACGTTAACAATTACATGAAACACTTTCCTAGTTATCCAAGTTTTCTAGATATCCAGATTTGCCAGAACGATTTTTTGGTTCCGCTCAGGTGGGCACTTGGCAGCGGTGGGCGGCCCGCAACTGTTTATATCAGCAGGTTTGGGTCTGCTGCAGAAATGCGGGACATGATGTGATGATCCGCGGAGTTCCCTGGAGGCGTGGATCTAAATTGATATACACACGTATGTGACCACTCATTTTATAAGGGTAATGGACAAGTAAGTAACCAGCCGCCCTCCCCTTCACCGGTTAAGTGAACCCCAAGGTGAAGCTGGGTTAAGTTACAGGACGTCCCTGCCTACTTCGGCTGCTCGCCCCCAGAAACCGTCGTACCTGTTTCCATGACATACCTTACCTGTAGCTATCGTCATTCTGTACGACTGCACGACAATTAAAGCAGTATATTACGACAGAAGCACTAATTGTCATAGAATTTTACTGAAGGAATGGGCCGATTAACATATTGTACGGCGCCGCTGTCCCCCTTGACACACGGCACATTGGAGCGGATCATCAGTGCCTCGTGGCGTATTCCTCCACCATGGGGCTGGAGGAGACAGACAGGCCCCAGCCAAATCCCATAATCGGGGGCCTTGTCGCGCCCCTTCCTAGTGGCCGCTCTGTTATTTGCCCGAGACGCGTGCAAGACTACGCAGCTGTTGCGCAGGACAACGCGTTTACAGGGTTTCATTTTACACACATGTGTGGGGGTGTAAAATGACATAATAAACACAATTAGCACACAAGAGGCACACGCAGATGCATACCACCAACCTTTCGGCCGCCACCACCACCCGCGCCGTGTTCGCCGCAGCAGAGACACGCACACACACACACACACGGTCCTGCCAGGACCCAGGGCCCCCCTCCTAGCTCCACCCAGGCGCACGCAACCGCCTCGACAAAGGGAACGTCGCATAGCAGTTAAGTCAGCAAGGTGTGCTGGCCCTGCTCCCCGCCCCCCCTAATAGGTTGGATAAGGACACACGCGCCACATGCTTCTTTCTTTTTAGGAAGAAATCCTATCATGCCCACGTGTCCTTTAGGAGTTTGAAACCCCATAGCGCAACCGTCGCAGCCACACTGCTGCTAGCGCGACAACGACACAAAACCACCGTCTGTGTTCGTCTGTCTGTCCGCCCATCCTTATCCGGTCCGGTGCTACTACCGAGGCGCAATGCAGGCCCAATGTTGGGGCCCCGAAACGAGTGTCAGAAGAAGTCGCGTTGAAAAAGCCACGCAGCGTATCACAGCTCCGCGACGATGCAGCGGCAGCAACAGCAGTGGCGGCGGCGGCGGCGGCAGTAGCAGCAGCTGGGATTCCCAAGCAGCAGCAGCGGCAGCGAAAAACCGCTTGTTCCTCAGCCACAGCAGCAAGACTACATCACACCCTTTCGCTCTGGAAAGCCTATCATCCTTTTCCAGACCTGCTGTCGGGAATACAACCATTCCCCCCATGCGCTCCCTCAAGTGTGCCTCCTCTCCAGGTCGATGGACTGCGAGCCCCGCAACCCACACCCCATTCCTCCTCGTCCCTTCGCTACCCCCTCATTTCCACCCCCTATCTCACGCCTGGCCACTCAGCACTAAACTCTCAACGCAAATGCGTGTGCATCAGCCTACCAAATGCCATTACCCTCCCCACCGCCACCACCAATGCTCCTCCGCACCAACCTTTTTTCACGACACCTACGTTCCCGGCGCTTTACTGGCGCGTTTAAGTAAGCGCTAGGGTATTTCAACCACTATGTCCGGTCCGAGCCCAGATAATGTCCCCAATACCCCCCAACACCAACCCGACGGGAATTCCCGGTTCCTTCCCCCCTTCCCTCTTCCCTCTGGGAGTGCGGTCCGTCCCGTTCCGCCGTCTACCCCGTTTCTCCTTCGCCCTTCCCTTTTTTCCGTCTCTTTGGGGCCGCGGTCCGTACGCCCGCCCTCTCACCCCCCCTCCTCCCCTCCCCTCCTTCCCGCCAGGCGCTCAAAAGAAGGACGAGTCGTCGTCGTCGTCCGTGAACGTCCCGGTGGTGGCCTTCTTCTTTCCGGCCGAGTCCACGGAGGCGGTGGCGGCAATCTCCACCGCCTCCTCCTCGCTCAGTCCCAACACGGACTGCAACGTGGACCGCTTGGAGGCCGAGTCCTCCTGTGGGATTCAAGGGGGGGTTGACATGAGGGGATGGCGAGGGTAAGAGCGAGGGGGAGGGGGGAGGGGGGAACATTACGTGCCCGAGCAGGAAGTAAACGGCCGCGGGTAGGCGTCGGGGGAAAGGGAAGGCTTTGTACATGCAATAAAAGTCAGCGGACGCGGAGCGGAGGGTTCTGGGTCAGTGAAGGGGGAAAAGGGGTGAGAGGGGTAAGACAGTAACATGCACACGCACTGCACGCACGCACTGCATAGGTCATATCGAGGACCCTCATTTGCAAATCGCCTGGCAAATCGTGATCGTAACACACACACATATACAAGGAAAACATATCGGCAATCAATTATGTATACTCTGTAGTATTTCCGGTATTTATTATTACCTTTGCGCAGTACAGCCCGTACACCTCCTGCAGCTCCCCGCGCTCCTTCCAGGGGATGGCCCCCTCCTCCGGCATCAGCGCCACGCAGCTGAGCAGGTTTTGGAGCGAGGTGACCGCCTCGTTGACTCGCCGCTGTCGGAACTGCGACACCGCCTGCACCAGCAACATGCGCTTGCGGGTGGACACCTCCTCCTTCACGATCAGACGGACCTGATGCAGGGGAAGAGGGCAGGGGAAGAGGGTAGCAGGGGGGAGGTGGGAAAGACGAACCACGAACGAGTGAAGCTGCGGCCAGGGCAAGAGTGTATACCAGGAGTAGGACTGACCAAAAGGGAGGTGGGGCGGTGGGAAAACAGGCAGAACCCCAAAAGGTGCGGAGTGCGGTCTGGGGATTTACAGGGTGCGCGATAAAGGTGCTAAAGGATGCTACTGGAATACACTCGTATTTTTGAGAAAACGAAGAACGGCTGTCGATCGGTTTGGAGCACGACGAGAAGGAACACAAGGGGAAAACACGAACCGGATGTATGTCGAATGAGACCTTCGCCACCACACAGCACTTTTAACCATCCAAAAAGGTTGCGCAGCCACAGTCAAGCCACGGGGGCATGCCTCCCTCCCCAATCCAAGAGGGCTGAGCACATGCCGTACCATGCTGTACGACCTCGTACCTTGTTGGCTGGCAGTGCCAGCGCCGCGGGCAGGGTATGCAGGAAGTGCTTCGAGTCGGCGTCGCCCGAGCCTGATAACGGGTGAGTATGTAGAAGGGGCGGGGGGGGGGGGGGAACAGAGGGCCGGGAACCTGATTGAGTGCTGGGTGGGATGAGCAGATTGGGAGGCCGAGACCCGGCAAGACCCAGCAGCAGCGAGTCGAGCGTCAATCAAACGCGGGGCCATGTGCGCGCATGTGTGCGTGTGAGATTGTGTGAGAGAGAAGGCACAGACGGGCTCTCCAGGACAGGGCTATATACTATACTAAGCGTTATCCCCCCCCCCACACACACCGGGCCCCCCGACAGCGCTATGCCGGACTCACCGTCCGTGACCTTCTTGATAATCTCCCGGCGGAACAGATTCCTCCTCGTCACCTCCTCCATCAGGTTCTCAACATTGCCACCGCTCTTGTGGAGCTCCAAAACCCGGTCAACAGTCCACTTGCCGTCCTCAGCGGCCGAAGAGCTGCCGTACACTTCCGTACGGGCAGCCTTGAGCACCTTGTCGCCTACCTCCTTGCTAAGACCCAGCTGCGACCGCATCTCCTCGAGGTACTGGATCTTCTCCTCGTTCAGCGGACCTTCAGGGAGGTGGGGGTTCGCATTAGCAACGTGATGGGGTTTCAAACTAAACAACCGGTATTAATAGCCAGCTCCCCCCCACCCTCCACCAAATCTATTGAACATCGATGGACATTGCGCACACCACCACCACCAATCACCACCACCACCACCACCTCCATCACCAATCACCACCACCACCACCACCACCACCTCCATCACCACTGCCTGACCACAAATCCCGACATTACACACTACCTCCCGTACTACATCCACACGCCAAGGAGCCCTCCAGCCCTGACGACCCCGCGAACTGCCCCTCTCCTCTCCTCGCCGAAGCCCGCGCCAGCAATCCCCCTCCTCCTACTCTTCTTCCCCACAAGCCACACCCGCCACAATACCCTGCCCCCCAGTTTCCCCTCACGCCCTCACCCGTGCGCATGACCTCGGAGGCTTGCGCCTTGTAGGCCTGCTCTGCGAGATCCGACTGCGCCGACATCACCTCAGCACCGCTCATACCCAACACGTCAGCCAGGGCCTGCAGACGAGTCATCTCCGCCTGTGGGGGAGTGGGGGGGGGGGGGAAGGAAAGAGGAGAGGGTCAAATGGAAGAGGCGGGGGTAGAGAGTGGTGGGAAAGCATGGGCGGGCTGGGTTGAGGCTAGAACGGCCGACGAAGGCGGGGAGAGGGAGGGAGAGAGGGGAGGAGAGAGAGAGAGAGTGGAGAGCTGAGCAAACCAAAGGGCGGATGGCGATGCATAGGCCCCCAATCCCGCCCCGAAACCATAGTCCGGTCCACATCCCACCGTATGGCCCAGGGCATCCAGGAGGTCCATTCACTCCAATGTCAACAACCAACCGTCCACTACACCAGAAAGCCGGCAACCTAATTCTCGACCAGCCTCAAAGCACCCCGTACACACATACATACACACATGGTCACATGCACCCCTACCTGTCGCGCCTGTGCACTGGACTTCTTCCGGATGACACCGCCCACCGGCAGCTCCACCACCTCGCCACTCATGCTGCAGCAAGGGAAGCGAGACAGGGAGGGGGGCGGTGACGGAGGCAGACGGGGGGGACCAGCGGCAGAGTTACGCATCAAGAGGCTCACACCTAACTGCGCACGCTCACACACGCACGCATACCTGTACATCAGGTAGTTCTTGTAGATTTCGGAACGCATAGCGGGCTCCAAATCATCCTGGGGCCGGGGAAAAGGAGAGACAGAAAGAGGGGGAGAGGAGAGGGGGAGAGGAGAGGGGGAGAGGAGAGGGGAGGATCAAAGAGCCAAAGGGGGAGACGAGAGATGGAAAAACAGGAAAACAACTGCCGAGGGGAAGGGGGAAGTGAGCAAAGGGGAGCATCCCGCTGAAACCCAGGAGCGCCGCTAGACGAAGCAGGGAAGCAACCGACCGGCAAACAATAACAAGCACGAGACGGGGCGCCACACGTCATTTCACCAGTCCAAAGATAAGATTAGACACCGCACGTTGGGCGCCTGTATACCATCTCCACGTCCACCTCCACACACACACAGAGGAACATACCTTGAGCGTAATTTCCTTTTGGGCCTTACGTTCCTCCTCACTGAACTCGCCGCGGTTGGCTTGAATGGCCTTGCGGACCTGCGAACACCGCATTGCACAATAACCCCAATCACGTCGCGGATGGAGATATGCGCGCCAGCAGCAGATGCACGGCCGATGTAACATCAACAATCAGACAGAGGGGGGGCCATAGAGGGGTGGACCAAGAGGGCAGCAGCAGACACAACCTACTGACACCTGGCCCCCACACCACTGGCGGGGACAAGACTACCGTGGATGTACCATTACCATAACCAACACCACCGTCACCACCACCACCATCACCACCGTCACCACCACCACCACCACCACCACCACCACAAAACATCCACATAATTACACCCACACATAACTACCCATATGTGTGGTGGGTCACCCACCTGCGTGACGGCATCCTCAGTGGACTGAGGGGGGGGGGCGGGAGCACCGGAAGCAGCGGCCTCAGCGGCCTCTGCGGGGTGGGAGGGGTGGGGTGGAGAGGGGATGCGGTGGCGCCAGGGTAAGGTGAATAACACACTAAAGACGATGGACACATACACGTGTTCGTGTACGCGAGCCGCTGAGCCGCGAAGCATATGATTTGCGTTCCCTCCCCTTTTCTCTCTTCCCCCAGTTCTGTACGAAGTTCTTTCCCCCCCCCCAAGCCCCTCTTCACTTCCTCCCTCTCACCCTCCTTCTTGGCCTCCTCAGCCGCCTTCAGCAGCATCTCTGCCAGCTCCTTCTTCGCCGCATCCACCCCCTTTACTCGCTCCAGCAGCGGCGTCACCATCAGCGCATTGAACTGCAGCAGCTTCTTGACGGAGGCAGCGAAATCCCGCCGGTCGCGACTGCCCTCACGCTGCGCCTGAGTGACGTAAGACCGGAAGCGCTCGCGCGTGATCTGCGGGGGGATCACAATGGGGGGGGGGTCAGATTTGAGATTGTCGTTGTCGTTGTTGTTGATGGTGGTCATGGTGGTGGTGGTGTTGATGGTGGTGTTGATGGTGGTGTTGATGGTGGTGAGGGAGGCGAGAGGAGCCAAGGCTGTAGGAAGGGGAAGCTGCGGACTCCGAAAACAAACCCCAAAGGACCCACCCTGAAATCCACCACGAGTCAATCCTCCTAGTCTTTCACTCTCACCCTCTCTCCCCGCCCCGCGCCCACCCATTCAAAACCCCTTTCTCCCGCCTTCTATTACCCACCTCTCTTTTTCTCCTTTCCCCCCAACCCCAAAACACTATTCCCGATCTCCTCCCTACCTGTGCCATAACCTCCACCGCCACATCGCTGTCCAGTCTCAGCTCCTTCAGCGCCCGGTCCACCCGCTCAGCCTCGTAGCTGCCAAGCGGCTTGGCACCCGCCAGGTAGATCTCACCAACCAGCTCCTCAAACTCACGACCCGCAGTCTCACGCATTACCTGCATGGTGGATATGTGTACGCGCGTATATGTATGCAAGTATGTCTCACGTATCAGGAGGAGACAGGGCGTGAGGTGGAGGCGAGCAGCGATGGATGTTTCGCCATGGCGTCACAACACAGACGCAAACATAGATGGAGGGGCCAGGGACGTAACACATACACACGCGCACACGCGCGCTCGCGCGCGTACATACCCCCCCCCACACACACACATACACACCGACCTTCTTGGCCACGTCCGCCGGCAGGCACAGGATGCGGCGGATGCGCTTCAGGTCCTCCACGTCCCCATCTGTGAGGCCCCCGTGGCCCCTCCTCGCCTCCAGCAGGGCACTCAGCTTGGCCTTGTACAGCTGCCGGTGCAGCTCCAGAGCCGCCTCGGGCCGGAACCGCACCTTGTCACACAGAGACTGGAGCACGCTGGCAGGGCTGGTGGCGGAGTCAAGACTGCAGAGGCAGGGCGGGGTGAGGTGGTGGTGGCGGGGAGCGAGGGTGGTGAGGAAAATGAGGGGTTTTGAGAGATTTGTTGTTCCGCGCCTAGGGTTGGGTACCGGTGTGGAAGTGTGCACCGTGAAGCGTCGGGTTCGGGTGCGGGACAACAAAACAGGGGAGGGGGAACACACACATACACACATACATATTACAACCATCAACCACCGCGCCCTCACCCAGCACCTGCTCTGCTCCCTCCCATCCACATCCATCCTCAAAACACCCCAACATCCCAGCCCTTGCCACCTAAAACCCTGCCCCCGCTTCTCCTCCTTTTTCTCCCCTCCCTTTACCACCACCCCTCTTCCTCTCCCTCACCGGCCGCTGGTGACCTCCTCCTTGAGCAGCCTGCGGTAGAGCTTAGCAGATACCTCGTCCCTCAGCGCCTGAGTCTCCTTGGCCCCCATGCACATGATGGTGGCCAGCTCGGCCGCATCCGCATCCATCTGGGCGCTGAACTCACCCGCGCGGTTGAGCTTCTCCTCCAGGTACAGCCTGAGGTATGGAGAGCGGATCGGGGGGTGGGTTCGGGGCGCAGGGGAGGAGATGGGACGGGAGAGGGAGGCCGCGAGAAACGCGATGGAAATTGCAGGCACACACGTCACGCGGGGCCACTATGTAACGCATACATACATACATACTTACTTTCGGATGGATGCAACCCGACACATCAATCCATAAGCGCCATCCGTGGTGCTTGCAACCCATGCAGCGCAGCCCCGCCGACTGTCCCCCCCCCTCCCGCATATGGGCTCGGGTCTCCCGGGTCCCATGATCACCCTATCACCTATCACCAACAACATCAACAACCCCGCCCGCAGCAGCCCTCAACCCAGTCCCCCACCCCACCTGCTCTGCCTTCCCCTGCCCCCCTCCCCCCAGCCTTCCCCCCATACATACATACATAACACATAATACATACATACGCACAATCATACATACACACACTCGCCAGCTGCCCCACCTGAACACGTCCTTGAGGTCCCGGGTGCGGCCCTCGCCGTCCAGAGCCCCACCGTGCAAAGTCACCATGCCCAGACCCGCCACAAGATCGTCCTCACTGCCGTATTTGACGAGCTTGCGGTCGTACTCCAGTACGGCATCCACCTCCTCAACCAGCAACGTAATGTCGCGGGCCTTGCCTGCTCACAGAGACAGAAGGGAGCCCGGAGGATGTGTTTCGGAGAATGTGTGGGTGGGTGGGCAAGAGAGATGTTATATTATCTAGAGTGTTGCAGTTCCTGCCGTGTCACATTCCATCGAGGGTATGATTTCCCGCCCTCCTCTCCTTCCTCACGCTGGGCTCTCCTCTCCTCTCCTTCCTCCCAGGGCTCTCCTCTCCTTCCTCACGCTGATGTATGGTAATGGTAACCCCCAAACGACGCACCCGCACACGTCAGCTCTTTACCTGTGGACTTGGCCACCTCGATGGCCCGAGTCAGGTGGGACTCGATGGTGCTGTTGTTTTCGAGGTGGTGGTGGGGGGGAGGGGGGAGGGGAGGGGGGGAAGAGAGATAGGTAAGGGCGTAACATCGGACGAGGGCGTTGTCGGAAAAGTGGAAAACCGGATCCAAGGTGAGACAAACAAACACAGAAAAAAATGTTCATGCACATGACATGGTGATACTTCCATGGTGCGCCCATGCCCCCAATTTCAACACACCCTGCATTTTCCATACACCCACCCACCCGCCCGTCCATCCATCCATCCATCCATCCATCCATCCATCCATCGACTCCTACCTATCTGCCTCCCCCCCTCCCTCTGATATCTTTGCACCCGGTCCCCCAATCCCCTCCCGAGTCTAGCCGTAAAGTACCCACCGGCGTGCTGCATCACGGACCACCTCCGCCGCCGTCTCATCCATCAGCTTGATGGCCGTCTGCTTCTCACGAAGCTCACGAAGGACGTGCCTAATCAGGAGGCATGTAGGCGGTCGCCAAGTTAGGACACATGATAGGACAGGAATGCAGCATTCAGGACTAAGAGTGCGATAGCATCAAGCGTGTCGACGTTTCGTTCGTGTGACTTCAATAAAAAGGCAAAAGCACGCGAAAGAGTTGTTTCACAGGGGAGTTTGTGAAACGCAGCAGGGCCCTTACGCCGAAGGGTGTATCTATATATGTATGTATGTATGTATGTATGTATGTATGTATGTATGTATGTATGTATGTATGTATGTATGTGTATGCTGCATCAATCACAGCTAAACGCAGGACTACATATGAGGTCACCATATACATACATACGTACATACATATACACACACGCACGTCGCGAACGTACCTATCCGCCGGCAGCATTCCGCCGCGCGCCTCCAGGTACTGCCTGAAGATGGCCCGCGCATTGTCACGTCGAGCTACAAAGATCTGCGCGTCATTGAGGTTGAATGTCCTCCTCCAGGGCAGCAGGAACGCGGCCTTCTGATCGCCAAACACAACCTGGGACACGTAGATCAGCCGCTGGAAGGCCTGAGGTGGGAGGGCGAGCAAGGTGCGTGTGTGGGTGTGTGTGTTTGCGGCGGAGGGTAGAAAGGGGTAAAGAAAGGGGGGTGGGACCAAACGGGGTTGCTCAGAAGTCCAACAACAACACCCCACGAGGGGAGGGGCCCTTCCACGGGCCCTTCGCTCCACCCTCGCAGGGGATGTGGCTCCGTTCCAAAACAGGGGAGACCCCCTCCTCACGGAGCCCGGGCCCGGGCAGGCAGGAGGCAGGGTTCCTACCTTGCGCTTCTCAAAGACGGCGTTGCGGTCCTTGGTCTCGAAGCCCTCGCGCATAAAGCGGCGGCCGACCTCTATATGCACCGGGGCCGCGTCCTCGTCAGCCAGACCCAGAATGTCCTTGAATGCAGCCACCTTGGCAGCCTCATCGCCCTGGGGTAGGTAAGTAGGTAGGTAGGTAAAGAGGGAGGGAAAGATGGCGTGAGAGGGAAGGGATGGTGTATACAGAAGTCCAAGCGGAAATGGATCCTTCTCCTCCTCACTATCAGCAACAGCAGCAGCAGCAGTAACAATAACACATCGCAAGAACATCCACCTCACCTTGAGCTGCACGTCGCCGACTGGAATGACGCTCTCCAGGTACTGCCCGTAGATACGCTTCAGACCGTCAAGCTCGTCCTTTTGGAAGTTGATGCCGTACTTGGATCCAACGTCCTGTGTACGGCACACACACCAAGAAGACACGACAAAACAGTACGATCGCAGCAACACACAAATCTTTTAAGGCTTTCATTCGGACAAACGGACAACGGACAAATTATTTTGCTTTCTTTTCAGCGCGCACATAGCTTCCTGTTGAGCGCAAATTTCTCCTTCCCGAGTGCACAAACGAACCCAGAAATCGCAACATTAATACAATCCAACAAGTGATATCGATTCAGCGGACCAGGAGGCATCGAGATCAGGTGCCCCAGTCCGCCTCATCCGGACGCAACTACACCAGCTGGCTCGAAAACTCCAGGGCCCCCCAAAAAAACAGGCGCCCTGGTCCGAATCGTCCTTGACAACCTCTCCTTACCCTGCACTTTTCCAACGCCTTCCTACGAAAGAAGTGAGAGCCCCAACCAATTTCACATGCAAGCCAGCAGATACATACGTCACAAACCACAAAACAGCTTCTGCCTCCTACATGTCACAAACACAAATACACACATGCGCCGGTGCACGCTGCACGCGCCGCAAAGTTTTCATCCAGCCAGGCTAAGCGGCATGCAACAAGCAAGACCTCAGGAAGCGCGAGCACACTCGACACCCTACTCAACAACCTAATAGACCCTGCACCTCAGGCCCACGATATCGACGTATCGACGATTGAACTCATACCAGACCTGAGCTGAGCTGGCCGCCGCCGCCGCCTGCTGCTAGCAATCTAACTAGCTGGATTGGAAACGGAAGGCACCTGGCCGCTACCTGCTATTACTGCTGGTGCTACTCCTGCGACCCAATGCTATTACTTGCTAATGCAGCTGCTACCGTTCGTCGCTGTTTATTGCTGTACCAGTTCCTCCTCGCCCAGTGACACTGCTACGGACGCTGCGGTTGCTGCTGCGCCCCAAACCCCCCCTCGCATCCAGCGATTGTGCTGATTGAAGAAACTCCAGGGACGGCTCTGCCAAGTCCCCGGGTCGACCCCCCGCTGGCCCGCCTCCCCACCGCGGCACCGGCGGCGGCAACCGGCAGCGGCTCTAGACGGGTAGCCACCTACTGCAGCTGCTCTCGCTGCTAAGGAGACTCAAGGTCGCACTAGCAGAAGTTGCTTGGCCGCACCACTACCGCAACACCACGTCCACCCCTTCTGCAAGCTGGCGTATGAAGCGGCCACAGACCTGCACTGCACTGCGGCCTTTCCGCCGCCGCCTCATCGACGCCATCGCTACCGCACCATGGCCCACGCGGATCTTTAGCCGCCGCTGCTATACCTGCCGCCGCTGCTACCGGCTCTCTGCTGTTGCTGGTGTATAGCCCTGTTCACTATCCGACAGGCCAGAGCGCCCACCTTCCCAGTTAACGCCGTGAGAGCAGCAGGTTATCTCGTCGTTAAGGGGCCGCTGCCACCACCGCGAATCGGTGACTCAGTTCCCAACCCCGTGCTGCTTCTTCGCCAGCCACTGAGTTCGTGAACCCTCATCCGAACCCCCCCACACACAAGCCAACAAACCGCGTCCCAGTGCACCGTTTTCCAGCGCACCAACTCTACTGAGGATCCCTACTCGCCTGCGGACTGCCGCTGCAGCAGAGTGTCCCCAAACCAAACCCCCATGCAACGTGTTTCCCCCTTTGGTGACACAGCCGTCCCACAGCTCCCGGAGCACATTGACGCCGAGAGGGAACTCACTGAGACGGTCTCCGGCGTGAGGTCGGTTGCGTCCGGCAAATCCACGAGGGCGTTGTACAGGTCCACAACCGCCGCAGAGTCGCGCTTGCGCTTCGCCTGCACGCAGCCGTATGCCACGGCGGCGGCTGCCACGGCCGCAGTGCCGTACGCGGCCACATCCTTGGCGCTTGGGTCAACTGGAGGCATTGTGGGAAAGAAGAAGTGATTGGTGGTTAGGGACTAAGTGCGAGTTGAGGCCATAAGGCAGGCAAGGCTCCGGTGCGATGCGAGGCACGGTTGTTAAGAAATATTGGGACCCAGAAGAGACCCAGATGAGTGCAGTAAGGAAATGAGCAGTGAAAAGGGAGAGGACGTAGGGTTAAATGTGCCGTGGAGGCAGACGGTGGTTAGAGGATAGGGGTGTGGGGTCAAGGCAAAAACAGACCCCGAGTGGCATAGGGAGCACGACGATAGGTGCTCGTTGTGGGTGAGGCGCTGCACGGTCAGGCGGCAACGCAACTACGGGACTCGGTGCCGGGAAAACAACCGTGCCTTCTAGGCCTCGATGGCCATTAACGCCGACCCGGCCGGATAAATGCGCGCCCGGCAAGATCTTTTCGTATAGTTTGGCTTAGGCGATATAACAAAATACTGTCCGAAGGACAACCGAGGCAAGTTGGGTGCATCGATGCTTCAAGCAGAAATGGACGAGAATCGAGCAGACTACGCCTCGCCTCACCCGGTGCAGCACGACCCAGAAGCGAGCCACCATAACCGGCTGCTGCGACAGCAGCCAGGAAGCCGGGATACAGTAGCATCAAGGGGATGCTGGACAAAAGCTGTTGACCCGAGTCCTTTGGCAATGGATATGGGAATGCCTTCGTGTTCGGCTCCTCTGATTCAATCGTAAACGTCTCCTGCAAGGAAAGACCAGGCCAAAGTTAATAGCGCATACGTACCCCATCGGTGACTGTACCCATCTGCGCAGCCACAACATATCGAACGGAGCCCAGGAGAAATCGGGCGTGCCCGATTGCCTGAGACTGTCAAGCTAGGTCAATCCGACTAAATTAAGGGCAACAGGCTTACCTCATACTGGACTTCCTCCACCGGCGCAGCCGCGTTTAACGGACGGAGGGTCGGCCGGGTCCGCAAGCAGCCAATTGGCAGGCGCACTGGCACACCAGGCATAAGACGAATTGGCTGCTTAAGGGCCATCGAGGCCCTGGTGGTCTGCATTTCTCGTTGGATAGGGGATGCGTCGCTAATACGGGCGGCGGCAGAGAGTCGCTTCTGCGATTTAAAAAGTAAACTAGCGCGACGTGGGCACCCTGTCAACCCCGCTGCCCCTGCAAAAGAGGGAGGTGAAGTGACGCGCTGGGTACTTCGCTATTGCACCGGATCTGGAAAGGGCCTTGCATGGGAACGCAATTGACTAACTTCAAGCATGACCAATAACCTCCCAAAAACCCTTCTATTTTTATATTTTTTGTCTTTACCAGTACGTTGTAAGCAGCTGCTTTTATCGCCATCAGCTGAAGAGCGAACCTTCCGACATCGTTATTTGTTGTTTCTTGCAAAGGTTTTATGTTTCCGGGTTAGCTGCAAATTCAACTTTTCCATACCACTCTCTCTTATCTAGAATAAGTTTTCATGGTAAAGCAGGATGGCAAGGGCGGGGGACAGGCGGCGGCGGACCCACGCTTCGCCGCCATGCACAGCGACCCCCGCTTCCAGCGGTTTCCAAAACAGAAGTTCAAAGTGGTGGTCGATAAGCGCTTCGCAGGTGGGCGGCGAACGAGCCCCTTTCGTCGTGTTGGGTTACGGGAGGCCAGGGGACATGGCTGTGTGCAACGAAATGTATATCAGTGTCTGCCGGCAGCGACCATCGTGCTGCCACTGGAGTAATGGGCAGTTTGGTGGTGGGATGAAGGGTTTTGGCCTGTTCCCCCGTCCCCCCCGCCCCCCCGTCCGATGTTGTTTCCGTACGGGTTCCGTCCGATGGTGTCACGAACCTTCCTTCTCCAAGGACCTGAAGTGGCATGGGTAATGGCCACAGAGGCGGCCCAGGATCCGGCAGCCCCATCATGGCTACGGGAATGGCTGCTGCCCCCCATGTCACTCTGCCCCGAACTGCCGCATTGTTTATCCCAATCGTTGGCACTGGTAGTAGTACCGTACGGATGCACCTACAAAGGCACGGATGCACTGCAAGAGGCAAAAACTCACAAGCATACATTCTCACAGCACTCTCGCAACACACAGCACAGCACAACACACAACGAGCAGCAAACCCTCTCCTTCCACACGGATACCAGGCGGCTTCTGTTCCCCAGCTTCGGAGAGCGGCGCGCCCCATCTCCCCATGAGCATCTCGTCGTGTATCACCCCCCGACACATACATCCAAACCCTCACTCCCCCACCCCCATACATACATACATACATACATACATACATACATACATACATACACGCGTCTACATGTTTGTCGCAGGCATGTTTGAGGACCCGGAGTTTCAAAGCCGCGCAGCAGTGGACAAGCGGGGACGCAAGGTGAGGTACGGCTCGCGTGGTTCCGGTCCTTGGTTCCGGAGCCAGGAGCCAGAGGGGGGCCTAGGGGGCAAAGCTAGGTTTAGGAAACTCTATAAACATCAACTTGGGACGGCCTTCAGATCAGCTATCAGCCATCAGAATCAGTGGGCGGCGGTACTCCCATCCCGCGCCAACCGCGGCACGGCACTGTCCGCCGACTACTACCTCACGCACCTACCCCCATGGCAGCCCACATGAGCTTTGTTTTTGCCTGCTGCTTGCGACCCTCCCTGCGCTCCTTGCGACCCTCCCTTCTCATTGACGAAACTTTGGACGTCCGCGGGTAGTTCATTTCTGGTTTCCTTGCATGTGATTACCCTTCCTCCACCGCACCCCGGCAGATTGAGGTTCGGCGGCGCAACGAGGACCTGCGGCGGTACTACCGCCTGAGGGACGAGGAGGAGCGGCGGGAGGAGGGGGAAGGGGGGGAGGCAGCAGGGCAAGACGTAGCAGCAGCAGGCGGGGAGCGGCAGGCGGCGGAGCCCGCCGGCGGCCAACAGGCGGCGGGATACCCACAACAGCAAAAACCGAGGCATCAGCATGACCAGGGGGGGGGCAGGAGGGCCCCTCGGGGGCTGCAGAAAGAGAAGCAGGGGCGAAAAGAGGAGGCAGGGGCCGTCGTAGCAACTGGAGCTGCAGACCTGAAGCTAAAGGATCAACGAAAGGAGGGGCGGAAGAAGCAGTCGAAGACGAAGGAGCCGGAGCAGCAGCGGGCCCAGGACCGGGTGGATGGTGCGGCTGACGGACGGACTGTGAGCCCACATGGTGCTAAGCGGCAACGAGCTGGGGTTGGGGCCGTGGCTGGGGCGGGGGGACCGTCAGCTGGTGCCGTGGCGGCACTCCAAGCCAAGGGCGAGGAAGCGGCAGCCACGGCGCGAGGGGCCGAGTTTGTACCGAGGGGCCTCGGAGGAGCTGTCGGGGCGGAGGACACTGACGTGGAGGAGGAGCTGGAGGAGGGGGAGGAGGCGGGGAAGAGCAGTGACGATGATGAAGACGAGGAGGAAGAGGAGGAGGAGGAGGGTGATGATGAGGCGGCGCGGGCGCGGGAGCGTTGGGCCCGGGCTCGCGGAATGCTGGGTGAGGCACCAGCAGCAGGGTCCCCGGGGGGGCTGCTCCTGTTGGGCTGCGTGAGGAAGGGGGGGTTAGAGACGAGTTCTGGAACACACCTGGCGTTCGGGGGGGGTGAGTGGGAGGGTGGTTGCTCGCGGGGCTGGGGCAGCATTCGGGCTGGGCAGTCCGAGTGCTGAACGGGTCAGCGGGAGGTGACCGGAGGGGAGAGGGAGTCTTCGGAAGAGGAAAGAGGAGGGCTGGGAGGGCAGAGCAAGGCCCCCTTGAGGCCCCCTTGAGGCTCCTGGAGTTTCCGTGCGGGGTGTGGGTGCACGGGTGAATGAGGTCCCGATGGGGTGCCATCAGGTAGAAGCCGTTGGCCTGCGGTGGTGTGGGTTTTTTTATACACAAATACTCTTATGTACCCCCCACCCCTCGTGGTTCGATTTTTCCCCCCTCGTATGCATGTGGGTGCTGGCTTATGCGCCCGATTGTCTGTCTGGATGTCATGTCTGTGAAATGGCCAATGAATCCGGATCTCTCCCGTTCGCAGTGTCGGACAGCAGCGACGAGGAGGAGGAGGAGGGCGCGGAGGAGTACGACAGCGCTGACGAGCCGCTTACGGACGAAGAGTACGAATCGGACGAGCAGCTAGATCCGGAGGAGTGGGGCCCGGGTGCGCACGCACTCAACCCGGAAGAGCCCATTCCGCAGCAGGAGGAGACGCGCAGGTGAAACACACATCGTGTCGAAGTCGTCTTTTCCATAAAGCTCCGGGTGGCCGGCGGTGGGTGGGCTTCCGCGAAGGAAAGCTTGCTCGTAGTGTTTCCGCCCTCTGTAGCAACTGCCAACTGTCGTATAACATGAAACTCCATCCGCAATCGCCAACTGTCGTTGCTTCTCTCAGGCTGGCCCTGGTTGACTTGGACTGGGACCATGTACGAGCTGTGGACATACTTGCCGTGCTGCGTTCCTTCCTGCCCCGGGGCTCCTTTCTGGACCGAGTTACGGTCTACCCCTCCGACTACGGGCTGCAGCGGATGGCGGAGGAGGCGGCGGCGGGGCCCCAGGTGCGGGTGGCTGGGGGGGGGGGTGGAGCTGGGAAGGTACCTTGCACAGGGGGAGGGCTTGGATCGCTCTCCTGAACAACTCCTCCGGGACTAGTTCCAACCCCCACCTTCCCTCCCCCCCAACCCCCGCAGGCCTGACCTGCGCTGCACTACTTAATTTTCTTACTTACTTCCGTTCCCTCCCTTTCCCCCCTCTCCCGTGGTTTGTCCTTCCCCCCTCTCCCTCCCTGGACGTTCCTTCTCCATGTTGAAATCCATCCGCAGCTGATCCTGAAGCCAACACAACGAGGGTCCGGGGGCCCTATGGCGACAGCGCCAGCAGCGGCGGGTGGCGGCGGCGGCGGCGAGGGTGAAAAGGGCCGGGGGAAGAAGGGCGATGGCGGCGGGGCAGCCAGGAGGGACGGTGGTGATGGCGACGACGGCGGCGCAGAGGTGGACAAGAAGCGCCTGGCGGCGTACGAAAAGTCGCGGCTAAGGTACACCGTACGGCGTTGTACGAGTGACGGCGCAGAGCAGTTCTACTTTGGCTGAATGGAGAGATGCATGTACATGTCGTATGTCGTTCGTATGTACGACAAGAAGGTAGCTTCTTAGCCATACCCCCCCTGGTCTATGTTTTTTCTTCTCGTCAATCGTCTGTGTTTCGTCGTACCCCCCGGGTCCCTCACCGCGCGAGGAAGGGGCACACAGGAAGCAGACAGCCCAAACCCCATGTGTTTCTGTCGACAGCATTTTACTTTTACAGCTGGCTTTGGCCTTCTTTGGTGCGGAGCACCTCGTTTATCAACTAGGGCTTCGCCGTTGTCAAACTTCGGTTCCTTGTCTTCATCCCCTTTAGTGCTCTTCTTCTTCCCCTAAAGGGGAAGAACCCCAAAGTCTTTGTTCCCATCCCCTTTAGTTCATCCCCGATTCAAACTCCTTCCCCCCTCCCGAAAAACCACCTACTGGTCAGTTATGGTTCTTCTACACTCTTTCCTTGGCAGCAGCCTCACTCGTTCATGGTTCGTCTCCCCCCCCCCCGCCGTTCCCCCTCTGGACCCAGGTACTACTACGCCATCGTGGAGTGCGACTGTATCGCCACCGCCCTGCATCTCTATAACGAATGTGATGGGATGGAGTTTGAGCGGTCCGCCTGCAAGTTCGACATGCGCTTCGTGCCGGATGAGCAGAGCTTTGAGGGACGGCAGGTGACCGGATGAGGAGGAGCCGGGGGGTTGGGGAAAAGGGGGGAAAGACGAACCACGAACGAGTGAAGCTGCTGCCAGGGGGAGGGGGGAAGGGACTGGACAAAAGGAGGTGTGCGTGTGTGTACTTTTATTATGTGGTAGCCATGAAAGGGAAGTGGGGAGCTAAGAGCTTGGTGCTGAGAGAACTTTACCGAAGCAAGTTCCGTAGTCCAGCGACGTGTGTATATGTATGTTTGTATGTGCGTGTATGTGTATGCAAAAAGGGGGGTTGCGTGTTACGTGTCTGGGATTGAATTGAATTCGGGGTACGCGGAGGTGGGGGCTGTTGTACCACGAGTTCAGTAAAGTGCCGATCGGCGGATGTCAGGATCTCGAGATGATGATACGCCCCCCAGGATACTATCAGGGGTGATGATGGTGGTGTGTGGAGTAGAAGCAGCCTGTGAGGGGGAGCGGATGCGCGACGATGACCGCGGCTACTCTGGAAAGTGAACCAGAAGATGATAATGAGATAATGATAATGAAATATTGTTAGTAGTAATGGTAATGGTGATGATAGTAATGATGATGATGATGATGACGAAGTGCCCTATAACAGGGTTCATCTCGAACCCTCGCCACTCGCCGGGAACACCAGGACCCTCCAATGTCTGACACATGAGCTGAGCTGGGAGGGGGGAATGGCGACCTACGCGCGCGCGTGTGTATGTGTGTTTGCAGGTCCGTGACTCGGCTACGGATATTCCCCCCGGCTATCAGCCCCCCGCGCACTTCAACATCTCCCTGCAACACACCGACCCCAAGCTGTCCTGGGATGCCGAGGACCCCGAGAGAAAGCGGAAACTGCAGGTGTGCGTACACATGTATGTTGTTACAGGGTGGTTAACTTCGCCAGCGGCCCCCTTTCCCGGGGCAGTCCCTGCTCTCCCCTGCTAGAGGGGCACCCTAATCCGTCACCCCATCCGACTTCAGAATGTATTCGTTGGGTTCGGCAACTCACCACCAGCATCCAACCAAATCTAGCGGATCAACGGCGCATCAACTTAGTTCCTGGTCAGCTCGCAAGTTGATATTATCACGTCCTACACCGTCCATATGATGGGGGGCCACCTCCCATTTCATCACTCCTCAAACACCCGAGGAGCTGGCAGGCGGATTTGAACCCGGGTCGACTGGATCGACTGGGAGCAGAAGTCAGGCCTTAACTTCTGCCAGCCGCCTGTACACATGTATGTATGTTTGTTTGTTTGTTTGTTTGTGTGCGTGTGTGAGTAGTTTGGGGTGGTATGGGTGAGAGGGCGAGGCCTTGTGGGGGTTCAAAGCGTGACGACCTGGGTTTAAGGAAAGCGCATACATAGATACATACATACATACATGCGGATACATACGGCGGATACATACATACACGTGCGGACACGCCGCACGCCTCTCTCCACCACGCCGCCTCTGCAGCATTTTAGCGCCTATTCCACATTTAGTTTGCGTTTTCCTCACACATACCTGCCCTTCACCTCCTCTTGTTATTTTCTCCTTCTCCTTTATCCTTTATCTTCCTTTATTCTTCTTCTTCAACCTCCTTTCATGTTCAGGGTCGGCGGCTCAAGACTGACGAGGAGCTGCTGGAAGCTGACTTCGCGGCCTATCTGGGAAGCGAGGAGGACGACGAGGATGATGATGATGATGCTGAGGGGGAGGAGGACGAGATGGAGCAGCAGCAGCAGCAGGTCGAGGGCCAGGAGGCGGGCGCTGGGGAGAAGCAGCATGTGGATGGGGGCCGCAAGTCGGCCGCCAGCGGCGGGGCCGGCAGTCGCCGTGGTGGTGGAAAGGAGGACGCTGAGGCGCTCCGACGGCGTTATCGGTGAGGTCTCTGGAAGTCACTTGCTACTGCTACAGCTGCTGTTACTGCCGCTCTGCTGCTTCACTACTGCTGCGACTGCGGCTGCTACTGCTCCTACACCACTGCTACCACAGCCGCGTCGCGGAGGGTTCCCGCCGAGTGCCACACACCCCTCTCACCCTTCGCAACTCTCTTACAGTACTCTCTCTCCAAAACGGTCCAACCTTCCTCAAAACACCCTCTAACATATCTATTGGCTTTCCGTCATGTCACATGCACAGGGCGCTGCTGCTAGGGGAGGGCGCCGCGGACGGAGATGGCGCAACCACCACCACCATCACTACCACCACCGGCGCCAAGACTAAGGGCCGTGTGGGTGGGAAGAGCTGGCTGGGCAGCGAGGATGGCAGTGAGGGTGAGGATGATGAGCAAGATGGCCGGCAGCGCGGCGCGGCTGGCGAGCCCAGCACCAGCGGACGTGGCGGTGCCGGTCGCAAGGGCGGCGGTGACGTGGACATGGTGGTCACGTTCCACAGCGGACTGGAAGGTCTGGGTGAGAGGCTGAAGAAAAAGAAGGAGGAGGAGCGGGCACGAGCTGGGGAAACGGTAGGAGGATGGCCAGGGGTAGGGTGGGAATGTACGGCGAAAGTACGGCACAGGGGGAAGGTTAGTACAACCCGTGTCCCTGCGTTTTAAGAACTGAGGGCTGAGAGGGGTAGGGAGGCTCCCTAGTGGTCCCAACACCTAGGGTTTCTCGGTTACCCCGGGGCCCCTCATGGCGCGCATTCCCTGCCCTTGCCGTGAGATGTGAACCCCATCCCCCACCTGTCCACCGCCGACATCACTTCATTCCTGGTTTCCTTGCATATGATTTCCTACCTATTAACCCTGGTACCCGCATCCTCCTTCCCATGTTGGCTGGGGCGGCTGAGTACGGAGACTTCCCCCCGTCCCCTTTCCTTACCACCTGCCCTCCGATGCGCTGCCAGCCAGCCCCCGAAACCCCCATCCACCCCGTCTCATACGGCGGTCACACCCCGCACCCCCCCAGGTGTGGGAGGCCTACCTGCGGAAGAAGCGGGAGAAACGGGCCCAGAGGAAGGCCCAGGGCCGGCTCCGAAACCTCAGTGACAGGTCCGTGTACGTGTACGTGTCTGTGTTTTGGGGCGGTTTGCACGTACTTTTGCAGCTGTTTATGACATCACCCTCTAGGGCTTTTTCTCCTCGAAATTCTTTTGCTTAACCTCCTCCTGGCTTATGTTCCTCTACTGTCAGCGAGGACTCGGAAGATTACATCTCGGACGGTGAGGACGGTGGTGGCAAGGCGGCCCGAGGGAAGCAGGTCAAGGGCAAGAAGGCTCGCAAGGCTGACGGCGGCAGCGACGGAGGCGATGATGATGACATGTACGGCGACGTGGCCTCGGACGATCCTTTCTTTCAGCATGGCGACGGTGACGACCCCTTTGCCGACCCCTTCTTCAATCAGGTGGGGTGGTGGCTGTGGCAAGAGCCGGCCTAGCGGTTGGGGCCGGGGGGGTTCTGCTGAATTGCTGAATAGAAAAAATGAATGGCTCCAACAGGTAATGCTGAGGGGCAGGCAGCTCAGGGGTGCTGACGTGGCTCAATGTCCAGGGTCCTGCCCCTGCGGCTGCGGATGATGATGGTGATGGTGATGCTGTCACCTCCCCTGCTCTTGCTTGTATGGTCGGCCTCAACCGCCAGCACTGCTGCTGCTGCTTTATATTAAGTTTTATTGTTATACCATATCTGTCATTGTTGTATTCCTGTTGTTGTTTGTGGGGTGTCCGCACTTCAGCTCGTGTAAGGGGCCATCTCCTCCGCAGGACGGCCACGGCGGCGGTGACGCAGGGGGGACGGCGAGCGAGGATGGCGAGGAGGGGCCCGGCGGTGGGCGGCAGGGTGCCGGGGCCCGGGGTCCCCCGAGGCAGGGAGCTGCCAAGAAGGTCAAGAAGGGCGGCCAGGCAGGGGGCGACCAGGTGCGGGGTGGAGGCCATGAGCACTCGGATATGCGGGTGGGGGGAGGCGTTAAAGCGCTTCCCATACCTTTTTGCTGACAGTTTCGGAAGGGTTTCCGGGGGGGTTTGAGGCGCTGCGTTAGCGCGCGGCAACTGTCACAGCTCCTTAGTTAGGGGGCTTAACTCTCCCAGCCGCCATGCTCACTAGCAGCATGGCTTGGAGCAGTGTCCTACGGAATAGGGATACGTAACCTGTCTACCGACAATCTGTTCACCACCAACTCCAACTCCAACTCCTCTCTAAGACTTCTAAAGCCGAGAGTTGCACCTGTGATTCAAGCATGCGAGGTTGCCCCTTACCAGCCAATGTGACACAGTTTTCCCCTCCCTAGGGAGAAACGTGGTGGTGCTGCATTTGTTAATCCCGCCCTTTTCGTACATTATTGTATTATGGTGTACATTGTCGCTGCCGTACGATGGTCCCGGACAGATGGCCGCCGCCGCCGACCTGGAGCTGCTTCTCATGGACGATGGTGCGCTGCGGGACGCAGCCCGGGGGTTGAAGTCCCGGGTCCTGCCCGCGGGGCATGACGACGCGGGAGCCGCCGGCGGCAAGCGAAAGCTGACCAAAAAGGTACGGGGAGAGTCGGAAACGGTGGTATTATTATTACTACGTACAATGGTGTGCCTGCAGGGCGATGCAGGCAGAGTTGTTGTTACGGATGTCATGGCGGGTTGAGGACCGGTTCAGGACGCTGGCGGATTCCCTGGAGTCCTGGGGTGTGGGTGTGGGGGGTTTGACAGGCAGCGCGTATGTGGGTGGTTGTGTTTTGCCGTACAGACTGTTGGAGAGTGATTAATGCTCTGATCATACATACACCTCGGGCATGTGTGAGGCGGAAACACGGTTGGTGCCGATATGTATAGCGAAAAGATATTTGTAAATGGATTGGATGTGTAAGCCTGTGTGGATGTGGGCGGCGTCTACAGGAAAAGCGCGAGCTGAAGCAGGAGGCGCGGCGGAAAGCTCGTGCGGGGAGCGATGAGGAGGACGCGGCCGGAGGCGGCGAGGAGGACGGGGCGGGCTTTGCAGTCAACCTTGCGGACCCTCGCTTTGCAGACATGTTTCAAAGCGCCGAGTTTGCGCTGGATCCCACTGACCCAAGATTTAAGAAGATGCAGGTGGGCGCCTGCGTGATGAAGTGCGCGATAAGTGCCCAGGGACAGGAAGGTTTGCGCATATCCTGTTCGTCCGCTGGCGCATATTCAGCGTTGTTCGACACCACGAATTGGGAACGGACTCTGCTTTTTGCTTTGCAGCATAATGGCTCTTTGCAATTGGGTGGGCAGGTCTGCAGATGCGCCCAGGTTACTAGGTTTAAAAGCAGCCACTATTATGTCCCTGCGCGGGCTGGAATTGATTAGCGGGAAAGTCGTTGTTTGTGTCTTAACGCTTTTGAGTTTCGTTTTCGGCACCTTCCCCGATTGCAGGCTCGCGACAAGGTGCTCACGGAAATGCAGAAGCGTCGTTCGCAGCAGGAGCCAGTAGATCACAAACAGCAGAAGCACCAACAGAACGGTGCTGGCGCGGCAGCCACCAACGGGCGGCGAGAGGCGGGCGGTAGCGACTTGCGAATTATGGTGGCCAAGCTTAAGCGCAAGGCAGAAGCGCAGCATGAGAAGGAGCGGGCGCAAGCGCTTGGGAAAGGGTTAAAGAAGGCCCGGTTGTAAGGGTCCGTAGTTGAGGAGAGCTGGTTGTGGCTGAGCGTGAGCGTGCAGGAGGGACGTAGATGAAAAGGGCAGAAATTGATTTGTTGGTGGCGGTTAGATCAGGATTACGAGCGTATGTAAGAAGGATTGAGCATTTCGATGTGGGATTTTTACCTTAGTCATGGCTCCGAGACCACGTCGCCATGAGTGGCAATGGAACCTGCACATCCCTTCAAAGAGCCACATTTTTTCAATCAATTCACAGGCAACGTTTTCCAAATCCGCATACCGTGTGATCCCAAATACTCGAGAACACCTTTATTTATCCTACCTGTCGTAACTAGACGTTTAGAGGTTGCCGATACCGCTTCACGCCTTGGCAAGGGCAATTGTTTGACGACGACCTCACTGCTTCACCGTTGCCTAAAAAAACAGCTGCGAAATGGTGCGTCAACCGATGAGCCAAAATACGTCTGGAGCCTTTTCTGCTGCCTGGCCACAGGCTTAGCCACAGGTGCAAAACCGCCAGCTATCCTGTGCGCTCTCGTTTGAGGACAGCTGTACAATATTCACATGCCAAGCCAAAAAAGCTGGGGTTCAGAGCCGAGGAATTCGAACGCCCAGGTTTCCCGCTGGCTCTCCCGGCCGCGAACGTGCCGCGACTTAATCGCCTGTCAGCCAGCATCAGCTACCCAAATATTGAGGCAGGACAAGCGCAACCTACTTTTGACGACAGAGCTTGGAGCACTAGCATCGGCAGCGCACTCAAATCACACCGTCTACAGCTTGTTGCAGGCTGAAAGGCTGCTGAACTGACATCTCACGCAACTAGATCAACTTCCATTCTTACCCAGCAGTAGCGCTCATTATTCTCAGACAAGTTTCAATTTCCACATGCAATTATTTTGCCCTTGGTGCATAATTAAATTTACTTCCATCCCCGGCTGATCTTATTGCGTTCCACGCAGGGTCGCCCACAAGTCGCCGCGCAGGCTCAGGCGCAGCACATGACCAGCATCAGCCACACCGAGTCGCTAGAGCTTGTGCGCTGCCTGCTGCGTGTGGTGAGTTGAGTACCTTGAGGCTATAGCTGTTTCTCAGCATCAGCGGCTCGGTCTGGGGCCAACCAGGTCCGACTGGCGCTACCGGGAAAACTTGAATTGGACACAATTTGTATCGATTGCCATCTGGGTCACCTTGATCTATCAGGATCGAACTGAGTCAGGTCGGATTTGAATTTTGCGGCATCTGGGTCGGACAAAACCGGAGTCAGAATCAGGTTACCTGCAATCTGCGTCAGGTCTGATCTGGGCCCGTTGCGATCTGGGTCAAACTGATCTGGGTCTAATGGATCGAATCAATTTAACCGGAAATGAAGCTGGATCCGACCCGGATTCGGTCGTACGTAACCTGGTTTGCGTCTGCAAATTGTCGGACTTTTGTGTTTTTAAATTGTCTTTTTCAATTATCTTTTAAAAACAAAAGAGATGGGAACCAGAGATGCGGCATCCTCACAGACGTACAGTACCAGTTTGACACGAAAACGATTCCAACAGTCCACCCCTCTACCTGGAGTCAGATGACTTCCGCGCACGTCTCTCCTGCCAAGCCTTATCGCACTCCGGCCATACCCCATCCCCCGACCGCCCCTCAACCCCATCCTCCCCCTCGTCCACCCTCGCCTAATGGCCCTACGACGCCCACATGCCCTGTCGTACATGCGCACGTGCAGTCAATCTTCCACGTCAGCTACCTGCGGGGGCTCTTTCCGGAGAAAAGTTTCAAAGGTGTGGACATGAAGAACCTCGACGGTGAGCAGGGCCCGGGGGGACGGATAACCCGAGGGGTGTTGGATGGGTTGCGGGCCAGGCTTCTTGGAAAGGAAAACTTCATCACCCGCACATGGACCATAACATAATTAACTATAATAATCGCAGAGAGTCCTGGCTCCCAGACGCTAGTGCTGTGTATGTGTGGGGTGTGGGTGTGTGGATTTAGGGGAGGGGAGAAAGGGGGGTTACCAAGAGGCGGATCTGGGATGAACTTGTTGATCATCGTGCAGGGCGCGTCTTCCCTTCTTCTTATGCGTCCACTTTCCCCCTCTTGTCCCTTCTGTCTATCTGTTCCTGACCGTTTCCTCCCCGCAATATCCCCATCTCTCCACTGCCCGTGTCTCGTGACCCGTGTCCGGTATCTTAAACGTTCACCACCACCACCACCACCACCATCACCGTCACCACCGTCACCACCACCACCACCACCACCACCACCACCACCATCACCGTCGCCACCGTCACCCCCACCACCACCACCACACATCCACCACCATCGTGCTTCATTCAGACATGCACATCAAGATGCTGCTTCCCTCCTGTGATGAGTCGCGGCGGCTGATTGACTGGGTCGAGGGCGGTGTGTACGACGCCATCAAACGCGGCTACCTCAAGAACCTGTTCTTCGGGATCTCCACGGACCCCGCCGGCACTGAGCTCCTGGAGGTGAGGGGTTTGTGAGGCGTTGGAAGTTGGGTCGGTTGGTGTGGTTGGAGTGGTTGGGGGGTCTGCTCTTTTAAAAGAAGGCCGAGATAGACCAGAGGAGGTAACCCTCCTGCGCCGCGAGGTGGAAGTGGCGGGCGGACATGGCACACGGGAACAGCTCCATCGGAGGAAGTCGTCCAGCAGCGTGGTGCCGGTGGACATTGCTGAACGTTGTTTTATCCTCACAATGGATCGGCTGCGCGCGATGAGGCGATGCTGGCCTAGGGTGTCCAAAAAAGCTGTGCCAGGAGGATGTTGCTGGGAAAGTGGGAGACGAAGATTTTGGCGGGAACAGCGGCGGGTAATCCCCGGGTCACGAGTATCCCCCCAAAACACACACACACACACACACACATACACACAAGCAACCCAGATGAGGCAGCTCAGATCTCTTCCGTCACCTTGCCGTTGCGGTTCAGGAGTACGTCTTCACGTTCCGGTACGGCGAGGGCGGCAAAGTGGCCATGGATGTGAACGCCACGACGGCGGACGGCGGCGGCATCGGAGGCAAGAAGCGCGGCAAGAAGGGCGAATTCAAGCAGGTGCGCGACTGCGTGCGCGGTACCGGACTGCTTGCCGTCAGCTACTGACAGAGCATCATGGGGATTAGGGAGGGTTGGATTATACATGTGAGCAGGAAAGCTAGGGTTGGATGAATGAAGGGCCACACAAGGGCGCAATTGGGCTCCCACACACCTAGGAGGAGTGTGGGGCTTGTCAAGGAGCGACCAACAGGCGGCACTAGCACCCGGGGATATGCGTCCACGTATACATGTGCCCATGTGATATCTAGGCGTACCTTTTTCACAGTCACCCGTGCTTGACTGTGACGTCAACACTCCCCAACTAGTACGGCAACCCTGGTATGCAGGACTCCGGCAAAGCCGACCTCAACACGGTACGCTACCAGGTCTGCCGCCTCATCCGGATGCTCGTACAGGTCTGCCGTACACTCGACAAGGTCCCAGCGGAGGTGTGTATGTAGGCATGTATGCATGTATGTGTATGTGTGTAAACATACGTCGTAACTGTAGCATCGGTTGTCATCGTTCCAGATGTCGATAAATGAATGAATGCTAGAAACGTTGGTTTTCATGCATATTAAGAATCCTGTGCTTCATGCATAGCAATTGTGGGTAGAATCAGCCGACCCGGGGACGTCATGCCGTTAGGAGTGCTTGTGAGCTGAGCTGCGGACGGCCCCACCCCGGGGGTGCGGGAGTTAAGGGCGGGGTTGACATTGTTGGTACACACACGCCCTCGCCTCAACCCTGCTACCCCGGCGCCCCACCCGGGATCCTCCCGTACCCGCAGCGCTACCTGTTCATGAAACTGACGTACCAGGACTACACACCTGACGAGTACGAGCCGCCGTACTTCGTCCCAGTGGATGAAAGTGGCGTTGGCCACTTTAAGGTGCGGCTTCCATTCCCATGTTTAATGTTTTACCGGCCTCCGCTGAGGACGCGGCTATGGATGCACCGCAAAATTCCCCTCCTCTCGCAGTACCTTGGCTGCATCATAGCTGAGAGTGTGCTCTCGGGTGCTGCTCCCCTCCTTCCTTTCGCCGCTCCGTCCCTTCCCTATTCCTTCGATTGCCCTATTCCTTTTCTCCTTGTCGATGTTCTGCCGCTGGAAATGGGTGCTGGCTACCGCTGCTACTGCTGCTACTGCTGCTACTGCTGCTACCGCTGCTACTGCTGCTACCGCTGCTACTGCTGCTACTGCTGCTGATGGCTGTCCATGCTTCCCTCCACCCCTCCTATTGCTCTACCCCACCCCCACCCCCACCCCCACTCCCACCCCTCCAGCGCGCTCCGTTCTCCATGACCGTGGGCCGTGTGGCCACCGACCACCACACCGTCAGCCTCAAGGTTAAATCCACACTGGACAGCTGCGAGGATGAGCTGCTGGACGGAGATGCAACAGGCGAGTGGCAGTTGTGAATTCACTTCTTATGTGGTGGAGCTGTAGCGTCTTGTAGCATTACGCTTGTAATTCATCACCCGGGGAAAGGGGCGGGTAGAGGAGAGGGAGAGGAGAGGGAGAGGAGAGGGAGAGGAGAGGGAGAGGAGAGGGAGAGGAGAGGGAGAGGAGAGGGAGAGGAGAGGGA